TGAAGATTGAGACACTTATGCAGCATATGGGAATCTTTATTCAGGAAACGTTTCGCCACACAGTGGCTTCATCAGTCCAATACAAAGAGGAAGGCGTAAGGAGAGGAGGAGTATGAGGTAATCAGTCCCTCAGCCTGGAGTCGATGTGTTCAGTCCATCAATCTTGTAGAATGTACAGCATAGGGCCGTAGACGTGGCTTATATACTGTAGTGAGGTGAGGTGAAGCAGGCGGAGGCGGGGTCATAGTGGTACCATCCACTAGTCGAAGTAGGTCTTCGTTCAAAGGTTGAACAAGTGTTGAAGAATTCTTTGTAACAAGATCCCATGATGCTGCAGTGTCTGACAGTTGTGATGAATGGTTTGAAAAACCGACAAGTTGAAGATTGAAGGCTGAGGGACTGATTACCTCATACTCCTCTCCTTACGCCTTCCTCTTTGTATTGGACTGATGAAGCCACTGTGTGGCGAAACGTTTCCTGAATAAAGATTCCCATATGCTGCATAAGTGTCTCAATCTTCAACTTGTCGGTTTTTCAAACCATTCATCAAAACAAAGCATTAAAGCCACACTAGGATGTCAGGATGCCAAAATTTATAACAGCAGTGTAGTACCTGCAAGGTCCTATTGAATCCTGACTTGAGCTTACCGCCTACAAAGAATCCTTTATGCTTAGAAAATCTCTATTGTGGCCGTAATGGTCATTTTTGTGAATGCTCTGGCCATAATAATATTTTCATGTGGTTCCTTTGTATTTTCTCGGTAGGTGTTTTATTTGAATCTTATAGCAGCGCTGTATGACCCTTGTGGGTTTAGCGCTTGGTTTTGATTATAATGATTTGAACATCATAAAGGAACATGAATATAATCGCATACAATACCATTTTTATTATTATTCTTCCGAAACATTACACATATACAGTAGGCTTCTTCAGTCGAATATAGAGGAGACTTCTGCTGCCTCCATTCGACTAAAGAAACCTACTTACTGTGTAGGCAAAACGTTTTGGAATAAAGATACCTGTTATACACGTGATTTACTTAATACAGTAAAGGAGCACAAAAGTAAACCTACTGGCTCGTCTTTCTTGAATCTAGTGCCTCTCATTCGTATGTTTTCTTATCTATTTTAAAGTTATACATGGTGCTAAGTTCGACCACTATTTGGTAAATTGTTCTTGTCTACAACTCTTTCCAAACCAATACTTTCTAAATTTGAATTTATCCATTTGAATCACTGTTTCGATTTATTTCTTGGTTTGAGATCTCCACACCCTATCTATATCATGTTTATTTATACCTGTTTTCCAATTGCATACACCAGTCATATCTTCTCTCAGGAAAGATTCCTAAAATGTTGTGTATTTTGAAGCCGATGAGGGACTCTTGATCCAAGGAACTGGACCTGCTCTTCTTTCCCTTGGATCAAACCTGAATGCCCCCCATTCCCTAAGTACTGTATAACCCCTACGGGTTTATCGCTTCCCTCCTAAATAAAATAATATGGAGACCACAATTGAATCACATAATTTAAATGAGGCCTTACTTGTGAAAAATTATTATTATTATTATTATTAACAAATCACCTCCAGGAGGTTTAGAGAACATTACCTGCAAGTAATTTGGGTGTCACCAAACTGCAACTCCTTCGACTGCCCACTTCTACACCTTTTTCACAAAAAGCTAGACCTGACATTAAATTAATAATTATAATATTAAAACCCGCTACTCTGGTAAAATTGCAATTAGGCGGACTGTATAAGATTCGGCTTGCTGGGAACAACAAATATAATTATTATAAATAAATTACTAGTGCTATTAAAAATATATTTTTTATTACCACTTATCATTCAATTATTGTAAATGGAGCACACCACAACATCTGCCTAACACCTAGATCCTACACTAGCCAGCTAGGTCTAAATGCAAAGACAATGATACACTTCCCTGTGAGTAATGTGATGGCGTAGACTCCTTATTTCGCCATCCACACATAATTCTTGATGTCCCAATTCTTCAGCAGGGTACATTAACACAGGTTCCTATTACAAATTCAGGCCGAAACAACTCAATTTGGCACCGGAAAACGCCGAATTCCTGGTTCAAAATTCCAACCAGTGTACACATTAAATTCAACATGGCGTCTCTCCCGGCATCCCTATTCGCTGTTCACCCCCCTTTCCTCGAAATTTCTCGAAGGGTCCAAACAGCATCGTATTTTATTACACAGTTATTATATTATTTATATGTTCTACATTTAGGAAATTATGTAAAAAAAATCACATTCCTAATGATGTATAGAACAACCTTTGGGCGCATGTTGACTATGCCTCTTTATTTAAATTTAAGCTTGCTGTTAGCCAATATATTACGGAGACTTAGACGCTGCTGTCTTGGCTTCTGGTTTCCATAACCCTTAGCAGCGCTGTATAGCCCTTGTGGCTTAGCGCTTCTTTTTGATTATAATAATAATAATCCATAAGGACCATAACCCTCAAGCCATTTTCATTGTTTCCTTGGTGGTACTATGTTCTTTACTGGTGTTGTTTAGAGCTTCCCCCTTGATAATAATAATAATAATAATAATAATTTACTGGTGTTGTCTTTGTTTTCTTGGTAATTGTTTTAATCTCGTTTTCTTGGTGGTTGTGTTATCTTAGCTGTTGTGTTTTCTTGGTGGTTGTGTTTTCTTGGTGGTTGTGTTTTCTAGGTGGTTGTGTTTTCTAGGTGGTTGTGTTTTCTAGGTGGTTGTGTTTTCTAGGTGGTTGTGTTTTCTAGGTGGTTGTGTTTTCTAGGTGGTTGTGTTTTCTTGGTGGTTGTTTTCTAGGTGGTTGTGTTTTCTTGGTGGTTGTGTTTTCTTGGTGGTTGTGTTTTCTACGTGGTTGTGTTTTCTTGGTGGTTGTGTTCTCTAGGTGGTTGTGTTTTCTAGGTGGTTGTGTTTTCTAGGTGGTTGTGTTTTCTTGGTGGTTGTGTTTTCTAGGTGGTTGTGTTTTCTTGGTGGTTGTGTTTTCTTGGTGGATGTGTTTTCTAGGTGGTTGTGTTTTCTTGGTGGTTGTGTTTTCTTGGTGGTTGTGTTTTCTAGGTGTTTGTGTTTTCTAGGTACTTGTGTTTTCTAGTGGTTGTTTCTTGGTGGTTGTGTTTTCTAGGTGGGTGTGTTTTCTTGGTGGTTGTGTTTTCTTGGTGGTTGTGTTTTTCTAGGTGGTTGTGTTTTCTTGGTGGTTGTGTTTTCTAGGTAATTGTGTTTTCTTGGTGGTTGTGTTTTCTAGGTGGTTGTGTTTTCTGGTGATTGTGTTTTCTAGGTGGTTGTGTTTCTAGGTGGTTGTGTTTTCTAGGTGGTTGTGTTTTCTATGTGGTTGTGTTTTCTAGGTGGTTGTGTTTTCTTGGTGGTTGTGTTTTTCTAGGTGGTTGTGTTTTCTAGGTGGTTGTGTTTTCTAGGTTGTGTTTTCTTGGTGGTTGTGTTTTCTAGGTGGTTGTGTTTTCTTGGTGGTTGTGTTCTCTAGGTGGTTGTGTTTTCTAGGTGGTTGTGTTTTCTTGGTGGTTGTGTTTTCTAGGTTGTGTTTTCTTGGTGGTTGTGTTTTCTTGGTGGATGTGTTTTATAGGTGGTTGTGTTTTCTTGGTGGTTTGTTTTCTAGGTGCTTGTGTTTTCTAGGTGCTTGTGTTTTCTTGGTGGTTGTGTTTTCTAGGTGGTTGTGTTTTCTTGGTGGTTGTGTTTTCTAGGTGGTTATGTTTTTCTAGGTGGTTGTGTTTTCTTGGTGGTTGTGTTTTCTAGGTGGTTGTGTTTTCTAGGTGCTTGTGTTTTCTAGTGGTTGTTTCTTGGTGGTTGTGTTTTCTAGGTGGTTGTGTTTTTCTAAGTCATTGTGTTTTCTAGGTGGTTGTGTTTTCTTGGTGGTTGTTTTCTCTTGGCGATGGTGGTAGTGGAGATGTTAAATTCTTTGTGTATGTCTAATGGTTTTTTACAAGCTGATGTTATTTTTAATGCTCAATATTTTTGTACAGCAAATTCGTTGGTTTACAGAACGATGCTCTGTTGTACAGAATGTTTCTGAAAGAAGAGTATGTTAATGAGAACTATGGCATTTTTGTCTACTAATCTTTTTGCGAGATTTGTGGCTTTTGATATGAAACATCGTTTTTAATTGGTGTATGGAGACCCAGCTGAACAGTATAATCTAAATGAGGCCTTACAAGCATATGTAAATGTAAAGTTGAAGTACGACCGTAGGACGTCTGTCAAAAGTATAAATAATAGAGGTCCTAAGGTTATACTTCAACTTTATACTGTACATCTCTTGTGAGGCCTCTTTTTAGATTATGCGCCCCTCAAGGGAGGTTCATTGACGCTGGTGAGAGTCTCTTGATCTAGGGGATTGGATCTGTGCTCCAGTTCCCTGAATTGAGCTTGAATACCTTCCCCCCCCCCCCCCCTCCCACATTCGCTGTATAATACTACGGGTTTTGTCGCTCCCTCGTGATTATAATAATAATAGTTATCATGGCTTGGTCATTTTTTCCAATAGGTGAATAGATGTTAATTGGACCTGTCCTGGCTCTCCAGCATGGGCCGGTAGGCTTACTGCAGTGCTTCATTATTCTTATAGTATAACATTACTCAGTGGAAGTACATTAAGTGATGGATTTTAGATGGACAGTTTCCCTTACACCTAGCCGGGGACTAATCGACCCTTGTAGGTGGCATACAGGGGAGGAGGGGAGAGTGGATGGTAGTAAATGGTGTAGCTGCCATAGACGGGATAGGACTTTGAAATGAGCTGAGGTAGGATAACAATGCTTAGCTTGTAACTATAGTGGAGTAGAGAAAAGGGGCTCAGCATGCGTGATTAGTCTTTTAAATTAGAGCAATCTTAAATTGTTAATTTAGAATCCAATCAAATGTAAAGAAAGTTCAGAAAATAAAATTGGTTTAGAGTTATTAAGATTCAAGATTTTTTGCAAAACTTTGTATTATTGAAAGATGAGGTTCAGATAATTTTTTTTTTTTAGGCTTGCGAGCTGAGATGCCCAAGTTGGGAGAAAGCAACAATGGCAACAACAATAGCAGTAATGGCAACAGCAGCAGTACAACCAGCAATAACAATGTTTCCAATGCCAGCACCAATGGCACCTCTGGCAGCAGTTCCAATGATGTCACCAGAGTTCCAGGGCCACATTCCTACTCACCAGTCCCTACCCAGAAGACTTCATGTGAGTATGAAGGTGACAGGCCTTGTATTATTACAGTCATGATGCATGCGAGTATGAAGGTGGCAGGTCGTGTATTATTTCATTCATTGATGCATGCGAGTATGAAGGTGACAGGTCGTGTATTATTTCATTCATTGATGCATGCGAGTATGAAGGTGGCAGGTCGTGTATTATTTCATTCATTGATGCATGCGAGTATGAAGGTGACAGGTCGTGTATTATTTCATTCATTGCAGAGCTCTAAACCCATGAGTTCCAGACACCCACAAATTTTACAAAATGTCTAGAAGTAAATACACATAGATCTCAATGAACTGTAGCACTAGATAACGAGCATTTCACCCGTCCATGGAAGGTGTGTTCATTTAATATCAAATACCTCGAAGCCCCTCCCAAGAAGCTCATCACTAATAATTCCTTCCCTAAATCACTTGTAAAGCAACTGTTCAAGAAGAAATTTCTCGCTTAACTATAAGTATTAATTTACAAGTTATATACACTGATGGATATAAGCAGGAGTCTACTGGCAGGGCTGCATCTTCTCATATTGCCACCTCCCTGATTAAGAACAATATGAACTTGAGTTCTACACTGCAAACTGAATTATTGCCATCCTAATGGTGCTAAAGCTAACTTATGACGCTGAGCTTGACACAATGATTACTGATTCTGTCATCACTGAAGGCTCTTGACTCACATAATGACTAACAACATAGTACTCATTGGAGAAGCCAGATATAGATACTCAAAGATTTGGTAAAAAGGAAGTAATGTACAATTGTTATGGATTCCATCACACACTGGCTTACTCATTCATGATAAAGTTGACATGTTAGTCAAGAAAAGTGCCCTGAAGGAAAATGTAGATGTATAATTTTGGAGAGAAGTAAATAATAATGACACTGTATGTTACAGGAATGCATTTAGAAGCCTGGGTAGATCTGTAACCCACTATAACATGGACATAGATAAGTGCATTTACTGTACAACTTGCAATGTGAACAGACTGACTGATGTTGTAGCCAGGCTTAGGCTTGGTTATAAGTACATGTATGTGCTTCTGGTACTTGGGCAGACACAAATGATGATCAAACTAAATGCAAAGTACAATGGTACCCTGAGTTTCATACAGCTCCCAGCTCGAACAATTATGGACGTGTATTATTGTAAAGTGCTTTTGTAAGTGTATTTTTGGGGGTCTGAAATGGACTAATCTAATTTACATTATTCCTTATGGGAACAAATTCATTCGGTAACAGCACGCGAACAGTCTTCTGGAACAAATTATGGCCGAAACTCAGGGTACCACTGTGTATGGCTAACCCTATGGTAACTGTCTTGACACTTATGTGCTTTATTGTCCACTTATTGATGAATATACAGATAGACAGTATAATAACGTATGTGAAATGTCAAAATATCTTCATAATGAATATGAGATAACAGATATATTAAGCAAATTTCCTAAATTTGCTTGCAACAGACAAGTGAACTATAGATATAAATCCAGATGTGCTCCTATAAACCCTTTAGTGACCCAGTCCCTAGGGCTTTTGTGCATCCATATGCTTATGTGCTATCATTCACAGGATTTTTTTTTTAGCTAACATAAGCGTGCCTCGTTGTGCTCCGGGTTTTCTCGTGTTTACACGGTCGCTCTTACGTGCTAGAACTTTAATTTGTGCCATCAATCCTATACGATACATCCCTCTAGCGCCTGGAACCAATCTTGGGCGGAAAACATTATATACTGAGTCAAAAAAGGAGAATTAGTGTGCACTTCCTAGCAGAGTTTACTGCCAGAGGGGAATCATAGGCCTGTGTTCCGTGTGCAAAATAATAATAATAGAACTTTTCTTTGTCAGAGGAAAGAAAGTCTCCCTGTTAACATTGTGTATACATAGTGTATAGTGTATACTACAGTGGCTCCCTAGTATATAGATGATAAAGGCTAAAGTGTCATTTGAAAACAGGTGAATTTGTAAATGAAGTGATTAGCCTATAGAGGCAGGTGCCAGAAGTCGCCAGAATCTTACCACAGTGGTCAGCTGTTTTAATAATCTTTCTGGCCTGCTAGTGTACTCGCATATAATCTAGTGATACCAGTGAATAGCAGAATACAGTGTTGTAGTAGCAACTAACCAGTATTATAATGGTACTTAGTGGAGTGGAGTGACTTTCATTAGTTTCTTTTTCTTGAAATACCAGACGTTAGTTTAATATGTTTATTATGCACCCCATACCCATCCTGTGGGCGGTAGTCAAAAGATTACAGAGGTACATAATTGGTCCAGGGACTGGACTCCAAAGTTTTGATAGCTGAGCAAGTTACAGAGGTAATGAACTCACAATTTACAAAGGTAATGAACTCACAATTTACAAAGGTAATGAACTCACAATTTACAAATGTAATGAACTCCAGGTAAGTCTGGTCACAATCATGACAAGTTACAAAGGTATTTACAGATTACAGAGGTACGTAATGGGTCCAGGGACTGGGCCCCCAAAGTTTTGATAGCTGAACTAGGTACAAAGGTAATGAGCTCACAAGTTACAAAGGTAATGAATTCTGTAGAATGGTTACTTACGTTTATACTTTGGCTACAATCATGAACAAATTATAGAGTAATGAGCAATTCACACTTCCACACCCGGTCACAACTGTAATGAGTTATTGGTGCAAATACCAGACGTTACTGTGAATTTCATATACCTGTAGTTACCAGCGGTCGCAATATACACAACGAGAAGCAATTATTACTACAGAAAAAAATAATAGGAGTCCTCAGGTTGTTCTTCAACTCTATACATCCTTGGTTAGGCCTCATTTAGATTATGCTGCACAGTTTTGGTCACCGTATTACAGAATGGATATAAATTCTCTGGAAAATGTACAAAGGAGGATGACAAAGATGATCCCATGTATCAGAAACCTTCCCTATGAGGATAGACTAAGGGCCCTGAAACTGCACTCTCTAGAAAGACGTAGAATTAGGGGGGATATGATTGAGGTGTATAAGTGGAAGACAGGAATAAATAAAGGGGATGTAAATAGTGTGCTGAAAATATCTAGCCTAGACAGGACTCGCAGCAATGGTTTTAAGTTGGAAAAATTCAGATTCAGGAAGGATATAGGAAAGTACTGGTTTGGTAATAGAGTTGTGGATGAGTGGAACAAACTCCCAAGTACCGTTATAGAGGCCAGAACGTTGTGTAGCTTTAAAAATAGGTTGGATAAATACATGAGTAGATGTGGGTGGGTGTGAGTTAGACCTGATAGCTTGTGCTAACAGGTCGGTTGCCGTGTTCCTCCCTTAAGTCAATGTGACCTGACCTGTCTAGGTTGGGTGCATTGGCTTAAGCCGGTAGGAGACTTGGACCTGCCTCGCATGGGCCAGTAGGCCTTCTGCAGTGTTCCCTCGTTCTTATGTTCTTAAAAAGCGTCCTTCCTCCAAAATTTCCACCAGTCAACTATAGTGATAATATAGCATTTATTGTGGTGGAGACGAAAAAAAAAACTAGAAAAGCTAGATACAGCGATTGATAAACAAGGGTTGAGGCTCGACCGTTCGTCACTGTAGGAGCTGCCAGAAATCACCGGCTCTTCAACACGCAAGTTATACTTTTGTATCAATCAAATCACATATTACTCGGGTAGATAATTTCAAGTAGATCCTTCATGTGTTAGCCCAAATCACCGACTAGTATGTTTTAAATAAGTGACCCACTGATCAGATCAGATCGACTGGTCCGAACCCTCGACTGGTCCGAACCCTTGACTGGTTTCAAACGGTTTCGTTGGACAATAAAGCAGACTGTAAACGGATGGGGTTGTAGGCGCCCTTATCAAACACAAACAATAAATATAAATCAGGAACGTACACGGTAAGCTGTCCAATTAGTTAGAAATAGAAATACAAATAGCTAGAGCTTCATTTAAGGTTATTAATAGAGTATTCAAGAGGTTGCTAGTAGAATTACAGTAAATCAACCACTCAAATCATGAAGCTCTGTATAGTCTGCAGTCAATCAAACAAACTGGCTTCCACATGGATAAATTGTCATTTTTGTGGAAATTGGTGTCACGCCCCTTGTGCAGATATCCAAGAACTAGCTACAAGCAGTATTAAAACAGGGAAGTGTTATTGGGTATGCCCAAATGAGGAAAATCTGTGGACTAAACCCCTTATGGAAGGTTCCTTGATGTTGGTGAGGGGCTCTTGATTTAGGGAATTGAATCTGTGCTCCAGTTCCCCGAATTAAGCCTGAATGCCTTCCACATCCCCCCCTGGGCCCTGTATAATCCTACGGGTTTAGCGCTTCCCCCTTGATTATAATAATGTGGACTAAAATCACAAGGGTATTAAAAGAGGATAACATCAAAGCTGCTTTCATAGACAACCTGGAAGCTTTCTACAACAGATAGGAACATAAAAAGTCTGGGCTGAATGGTACTGCCCTTGATACTGGCCATGTAGTCAGAAACTGTAAGGCTGGAGGTGATGTCCTGGTAGTCAGTAAATGTGGGGCTGATAGTGCTGTCCTGGGAGACAGTAATGGTGAAGCTGGAGGTGCTGTCCTGGGAGACAGTAATGGTGAAGCTGGAGGTGCTGTCCTGGGAGACAGTAATGGTGAAGCTGGAGGTGCTGTCCTGGAGACAGTAATGGTGAAGCTGGAGGTGCTGTCCTGGGAGACAGTAATGGTGAAGCTGGAGGTGCTGTCCTGGGAGACAGTAATGGTGAAGCTGGAGGTGCTGTCCTGGGAGACAGTAATGGTGAAGCTGGAGGTGCTGTCCTGGTAGACAGTAATGGTGAAGCTGGAGGTGCTGTCCTGGGAGACAGTAATGAAGCTGGAGGTGCTGTCCTGGGAGACAGTAATGGTGAAGCTGGAGATTTTGTCCAGGTAGTCGGGAATTATACGCAGGAAGGAATACATATAAATGACCTCATAGGGGACAGGAGCCGTAGTGGGGAAATAAGTGTAGTCAAAGATAAGATAAAACCAATATTGCAAACTAGAAATACCACAGGAAATAGCAAACAAGAGGACTCTACTAGCTATAGTGAGGATATATTACCAAAAACAACTGGTGGGAGCTCCATTGTTGGTGCTAGGGAGGATAGGAATAAGACAGGGAAACATGCACCAACAGGGAATACAGTCACAGAAACCCAAGGCAAACGGAACCACAGCCTGTGCACATACTATGCACTTGGTATCTGCAGACATGGGAAATCTGGAAAAACAGATGGGACGTGCAACTATGACCACCCTAGAAAATGCCATGCCCATATGACAACAGAAAAATGCAAACTCCCTTCCTGTAAGCTTTTTCACCCTGAAATTTGTACCTCTTCAGTACAGGAAAGACTGTTCTATAACTTAAATTGCCAGGCACACCATCTAAAGGGTACAAAAAGATACAAAACATCCAGGCCATGGGAAAACCTGGGTAGCCACAGCCACTCAAGAGGGAGAGGTTTTTTAGTGCCAGGAAGGAAAAAAAACTGGCAGGAAATGGCAGAAATCGTACACCAAATCCAGTCATTCCTGGAGTGGAACCACAGTCGATGGCCTCCACTCCAAACCAACAGATACTGATACTAATGCCGGAAAAAAAATCCCCCCCCAGTACCAACAATACCACCAGTCCGATGACATTCTTCTTTGCAAATATACAGGGTCTAAAGCCAGCAACAAACAACAAAGTACCTTTCATCCATGGACTGCTTGCAGAGGCAAAGGCAGTGTTCGCGGCTTTCACTGAGACCCACATAAAGGATCACTTGGACAACGAAATATGGATCCTAGGTTACAACCTATACAGATGTGACAGAGTGAACAGGCAAAAGGGGGGGGTTGACATGTACATTGCAGAGTCACTTGTTTGCACAGAACTGCTAAATGCCTCAAATGATGTAGTGGAAGTTTTAGCAGTAAAGGTCGAGAACCAAAACCTAGTCATTGTGGTAGTCTACAAGCCTCCGGATGCAACATCCCAGCAATTCCAGGAACAGCTGTTAAAAACTGACCACTGTCTGGAAAATCTTTCAGCTCCTGCACCCAACACTTGCTCCTGGGGGATTTCAACTTAAGGCACCTAAAATGGAGGAATATAGCAAATAATATTGTTGCAGTAATAACACCAGGAGGCAGCTCTGATGAAAACTTACACTCGCACGAGCTTTTAAATCTCTCCACAAAATTCAATTTAAACCAGCAAATAATAGAGCCTACTAGACTGGAGAATACACTAGACCTCATCTTCACTAACAATGATGATCTGATAAGAAATGTCACCATATCAATAACAATATACTCAGATCACAACATAATTGAGGTTCAGACATGTATGCGTGGAGCCCCAGACCGACATAATGAGACTAGTCACAAGGGAGCATTCACCAAATTCAACTTCAATAACAAAAACATAAAGTGGGACCAAGTAAACCAAGTCCTAACCGATATAAGCTGGGAAGATATACTAAGCAACACAGACCCCAACGTATGCCTAGAACAGATTAACTTGGTGGCACTCGATGTATGCACAAGGCTTATTCCTCTAAGAAAAAGGAGGAGTAGATGTAAAATAGAAAGAGACAGGCGCTCCCTTTACAGGCGACAGAAAAGAATAACAGAGTGGCTAAAAGAGGTCAATATATCTGAAATGTGTAGGGAGACACTGGTCAGAGAAATAGCAAGCATCGAACTCAAGCTAAAGGAATCTTATAGAAGTCAGGAATCGCGGGAAGAACTAAAAGCCATAAATGAAATCGAAAGAAACCCAAAGTATTTCTTCTCCTATGCCAAATCAAAGTCGAGAACAACATCCAGTATTGGGCCCCTACTTAAACAAGATGGGTCCTACACAGATGACAGCAAGGAAATGAGTGAGCTACTCAAGTCCCAATATGACTCAGTTTTTAGCAAGCTGCTAACCAGACTGAGAGTCGAAGATCAAAACAAATTTTTTATGAGAGCCACAAAATTTGGTTAACACAAGCCTATCCGATGTTATCCTGACGCCAAATGACTTCGAACAGGCGATAAATGACATGCCCATGCACTCTGCCCCAGGGCCAGACTCATGGAACTCCGTGTTCATCAAGAACTGCAAGAAGCCCCTATCACGAGCCTTTTCCATCCTATGGAGAGGGAGCATGGACACGGGGGTCGTCCCACAGTTACTAAAAACAACAGACATAGCCCCACTCCACAAAGGGGGCAGTAAAGCAACAGCAAAGAACTACAGACCGATAGCACTAACATCCCATATCATAAAATCTTTGAAAGGGTCCTAAGAAGCAAGATCACCACCCATCTAGAAACCCATCAGTTACACAACCCAGGGCAACATGGGTTTAGAACAGGTCGCTCCTGTCTGTCTCAACTATTGGATCACTACGACAAGGTCCTAAATGCACTAGAAGATAAAAAGAATGCAGATGTAATATATACAGACTTTGCAAAGCCTTCGACAAGTGTGACCATGGCGTAATAGCGCACAAAATGCGTGCTAAAGGGATAACAGGAAAAGTCGGTCGATGGATCTATAATTTCCTCACTAACAGAACACAGAGTAGTCGTCAACAGAGTAAAGTCCGAGGCAGCTACGGTGAAAAGCTCTGTTCCACAAGGCACAGTACTCGCTCCCATCTTGTTCCTCATCCTCATATCCGACATAGACAAGGATGTCAGCCACAGCACCGTGTCTTCCTTTGCAGATGACAACCCGAATCTGCATGACAGTGTCTTCATTGCAGACATTGCAAGGCTCCAGGCGGACATCAACCGAATCTTTCAGTGGGCTGCAGAAAAACAATATGAAGTTCAACGATGAGAAATTTCAATTTCTCAGATATGGTAAACACGAGGAAATTAAAATCTTCATCAGAGTACAAAACAAATTCTGGCCACAAAATAGAGCGAAACACCAACGTCAAAGACCTTGGAGTGATCATGTCGGAGGATCTCGCCTTCAAGGACCATAACATTGTATCAATCGCATCTGCTAGAAAAATGACAGGATGGATAATGAGAACCTTCAAAACTAGGGAGGCCAAGCCCATGATGACACTCTTCAGGTCACTTGTTCTATCTAGGCTGGAATATTGCTGCACACTAACAGCACCTTCAAGGCAGGTGAAATTGCTGACCTAGAAAATGTACAGAGAACCTTCACGGCGCGCATAACGGAGATAAAACACCTCAATTACTGGGAGCGCTTGAGGTTCCTGAACCTGTATTCCCTGGAATGCAGGCGGGAGAGATACATGATTATATACACCTGGAAAATCCTAGAGGGACTAGTACCGAACTTGCACACAAAAATCACTCACTACGAAAGCAAAAGACTTGGCAGACGATGCAATATCCCCCCAATGAAAAGCAGGGGTGTCACTAGCACGTTAAGAGACCATACAATAAGTGTCAGGGGCCCCGAGACTGTTCAACTGCCTCCCAGCATACATAAGGGGGATTACCAACAGACCCCTGGCAGTCTTCAAGCTGGCACTGGACAAGCACCTAAAGTCGGTTCCTGACCAGCCGGGCTGTGGCTCGTACGTTGGTTTGCGTGCAGCCAGCAGCAACAGCCTGGTTGATCAGGGTCTGATCCACCAGGAGGCCTGGTCACAGACCGGGCCGCGGGGGCGTTGACTCCTGGAACTCTCTCCAGGTAAACTCCAGGTAATGGATATGGGGGCCACAATACGCTAGCTGCTTAGGTGGCAAAATCTAAAATCTTATCTGTCTCAGTTGCTATGATGTACACATAACCTTGCATACACTAAAAACATGGTTTCTTCACAGATGCCAATGGGTCTTACTCACCCCACAGCACAGTCAATGGGACACCAACACCCTCGCCACCCGCTCTATCCTCACCACCTTCACAAAACCACGAGTCAGGCCCAGGAGCTGGAGCATCCTCCAGGGATGCTCACAGACAGATCTCAAAGGTAGGTTTTTAATGGAAGGTATAATAAGAGGTTTTATTTTTGTATTTACTGTGCATATTTGATTATACAGTGGACCCCCGGTTAACGATTTTAATCCGTGCAAGAGGGCTCATCGTTATGCGAAATAATCGTTATGCGAATGAATTTTCCCCATAAGAAATAAGGAAATAAAATTAATCCCGTGAAAGGGAGGGCCCAAAAGTTTTAAAAAAATTTTTTTTTAAACATGAAATGTTAATTTTAATAAAACAAAAAACTAAAAAAAGGCATCCCAAAATTTAAAAAGACACTTATTTTTATTGAAGATCTGGGGGATGATTGAGGGGATGGGGGGAGGGGAGGGGAGTGGTTAGGTTTAAAAGGGGAACCCCTTCCATTAGGACTTGAGGGTAGTAAGTCCTTTTCTGGGGTTACCCCCTTTTTTTCTTTTAACCACTGGGGCCAGCTTCAGAGCACGGACTTTTTTTGCAAAAAGATATCTGTCCAAAGTGGCCTGTACCTCTCTTCCTTTAAAACTTCCCTTTAAAGTTTTTCAAAACATTGTCAGTGTAATAATCACCACACGGCTTGAATAGTTTGGGGTTGGGGGTTTTTTTCACCCATAAAAGGTTTGACTTCAAGCCATTTTTGGCACAGTTTTCCTTTAAATTTTTTAAAAATTAGGCAACTTTTTTCAATTTCTCCCCCTTCCCCCTCCTCCGAAGCAATTTCCTCAGGGTGGCCTCTTGCTGTTGAATTTTATCTAGCAGTTTTCTTTCAGTGGTTATTTCTTAAATTGCCCCCTCCACCCCCCTTTCCACATCCCCCCACTAACCCCCAAACCCCAAGGACTTTCCCAATCCCACAATGGTTTTCCTAAAATGGCACGGGATTCTCGGGGTTTGGGCCCAAACCCTTCAAAACCCCTTTTTGTCAACACTTTCCCCTGGCCACAGTTTCTTCCAAGCAATTTCCCAAGGGTCCTCTTTGTCACTTCCCCCCAAAGGGCCTTCCTATAAGGTTTACACAATTGAGGAAAATTAAATGATCTTCCAAAACTCTCTTAGAGTCAGTTGATTTTCTGGGGTCATTAAAAAGGGCACCTTTAAACAGACTTTTGGTACATTTTCCTTAAAATTTGGGAAATAACCTGCGGGGCCCATGGGTTTGCGGGAAAGTGGTATTGGGAGGAAAAAACTTCACCTTAATGAAGCTCATTCCCCAAAAAGGTCGCTTTCCCCACGTCTGTGGGATGCCCGGGGAAATTGTCTAACCCCGGGAAAGGCATTTAAGTTCAAAATTTCTTTTCATTTAGGAAATTTTTTTCACTTTGGGGGGGCAAATGCATGGTGTAACCAAATTTTAGAAAAAATTTCCCCAAATGACCCATGCCTTTCTGTTTTTCCCTCCACAGCACACAACCCAAATTTTTCCTTGAGGACCCTTCTTTTTTTCCCCGAACGCTCTGGGATTTCAGAGTGATACACAAAAAAGGCTTAAATTTTCAATCACCAGTAGGATTGGCACACATCAAAAAAGTAAGGGTGTCTTTCATAGGCTTAAAAGTCCCCGGGAGTGCCTTTTCCTCCTGATAATGTAGGTCCCGCTTGGGATTTTCTTTCCCCGAACGGGCCCGTTTTTTATCACCAATTAAAACACTTGTTCAGGTTTCAGGGCCTTCAGTTTTTTTTTGTAACCCTTGAATTCCTGCACATATTTTTCAGCCGCTTTGTGGTTCCCCAAATTGGGAGCCTCCCCCATGCCTTATCACATATGGATCCACTTAAAGCTTCTTTAAAACTTCTAAAAAAACCTTTCTGGCCCCTTTTTAAAATTTACTCACACTCATAGTTTTCAGGCAAATTTTTTTTAAATTTAAAACCTCATGCAACTTCCTAGGGTTTTCAAAATATTTACGACTTTAGAACCCCTTTCTCCTGCTATTGTTTTTTTATTTATCCCCACCAATAAGGGGTCTCTCAACATCTTCCATCAATTTCGATCTTTGTTTCGAAAACACAGTTGAACCTTTGGCAAGAACAGCTTCCTTGATTGTTCTTTCTGGTGCCCACAATAGTAGCGATGGTTGATTGGGTTTCTTGTACAGCTTGACTAGGTCGGCTATACGCACTCCACTTTCATACTTATCAATTATCTCTTTCTTCATCTCTATAGTAATTCTTACCCTTTGAGGTGTAGGGTTGGCACTAGAAGCTTTCTTGGGGCCCATGGTCACTTATTTTCCAGAAACAGCACCGAAAATACTGTAATAATACGAAATATTCCGAGTGTATGCTTGGATGTTACCGCGGAGGCTGGCTGGTAAACAATGGGACGGAGCGGCACATGTGAGGCTGGCTGAGGGCACATTGGACGCGTCTCGGACGAAAATCGGTATGCGGGTTTTTAATCGGTATGCGCGGCAAAAATTTTGCGATAAAAGTAATCGTTATGCGGAAAAATCGCTATGCGATGCCATCGTTATGCGGGGGTCCACTGTATATACATATTACAGTAAAAAAAACTTCGGTAATACTGTACCTGTGTAAATTTTTCTTGAGCGCTCAATCCTATGAGATTAGGTTAGGTAAGATTTGTCAGGAAAAAGGACAAGCATTTCCTAATGTGGGTCTTAATCATATGATGACCTGCCACTAGAGTTTTTGGTCATCTGACTTGAGGCCAGGCCTACTGATTTACCTGTCCACCCCTTTAAAAAATTAAGGTTATGATTCTTCAAAATCCTGGGAGTCATGATACAGTAATAAGAGGTATGATAGTACTTTTCTGTTTTTCTTTTTTATTAATAATCATATACACTTCTCTTTCTGTTAGGGGTGTGCTAAGGTATCAGTACTAGTGGGTATCAGTGTCTTCAAAAAAATTTGGTATCGTCCAATCTCTAGTACAGTGGCACCTCGAGTTTCGAACAGCTCCCAACTCGAACAATTATGTAAGTGTATTTTTGTAAGTGCTTTTGTAAGTGTATTTTTGAGAGTCTGAAACGGACTAATCTAACTTGCATTATTCCTTATGGGAACAAATTCATTCAGTATTGGCACTCGAACAGCCTTCTGGAAAGAATTAAGTTCGTAACTCGAGATACCACTGTATTTTTAACTTCACACTAGTATGCATTTTATGCTGAGCAGGAGTATAGAATTTTTTTTAGGATTATATTTTTATAGGATTATATTTGAGTTTATTGTTAGATTTGATTGCATGGATGATTTTTGCCTTAATTCTTTTCATTAGTTACTTTTACCATGTTGCTCAGTATTGGGAAGTAGTTCTTACATTCTGTAGGAGGGGTGGAGATGTTGCAGGTTGTAGGGTCATTTCAACTGTGATATCTATACAGTTATGGCAAGACAGTAGTTGAATGAATGATAATAGTAACTACTGTGTTTATTTAGGTTTTGGGTACACAACAAACTTTTTTTGCAATGGTCTTGAGAGCACACATGTTTTGGGTACGGGAGTTATTTCTAGGGAAGCTTTAGGTAGTAGTCGTTTTGATAAGGACCTGCCTCGCATGGGCCAGTAGGCCTTCTGCAGTGTTCCTCAATTCTTATGTTCTTATGTAAATTTAACCTGGGATAGACCATTAAAATCAGATGCATATACATCCCATCAGTTATACAAAGATGAACATATCAGATCAATAAGCTAATTATGAAGATTTTAACAATGCAAGAAACCACTATCCTTCTTTTATAGAGATTAGTATTTAAAGACTAATAAATGCTTAGTGCTGCCTTCTAATGAGCAGTTAAAAGAAATAAGGTATAGTGTTAATGAGTGGGCAATAATGTGGCAAACAGATACAATAACACAATAAACAGTTCAGTTTTTTTTAACACATCGGCTGTTTCCCACCGAGGCTTTATAGTCAGAAACTAAACCCAAGGACAATCTTGATTAAGTAGTGTATTTTCACCTATGCAAACGATGTTCAGTACCAAAAGTATTCATAGGAGAAAAGGGAGGAAGTCTGAATAAACATGCAGTTACAGTATTTGTGCACATACGAACAGTGCTGTTTCCCTCATGTACTTAAATGCAAAATTAACGTAGATTTTGAGAAAGTTTAAAAATGATAATACGTATATGGTACAGGTGCGGCGGTTCCTGACTACACTGCATCAATTTGCTGCTGACATTTCTCATGATGTAGGTGACCGTGTGAGGCACCTTGTTCTTGGCCTTTTGGTAAGTAACTTTTTTACTCATGCTTACTCTAGCATTGTTACTCCTTACATATTTTGTCTTCTGTTTTTCTGGTCTCCTTTCACTGCACACATTACATAAAAGCATACATGCATTACAAAAATCACCAGTCAATTCAATGATAAGGCAATTGAAGCCATTTTTTGACATTTTGAGACTTTCTCATATACAGATCTACAAAAAGAAAACATCCAGAATTACAAGTCTAAAATAAAAATAATTACCACGTAAGAAACAAACAACAGCTTACATGAGCTCTCATAAGTTTCTAAGTATGACTTAAAATGGTAAGCATAGAGAGCTTCTGTAATTCTTAGTTCCATGTCTGAAGAGAAACTGACTAGCACCTTGAAAAATGTGTCGCTTATAAGGTGGTTTTGTGCATGCGCATGTTCACTAATTTCTGAATTTGAAAACTTAGCAGTTGTCCTGTCCTAAAAGATTTACCTTAATGTTCAGAAATTTGAGCCCTGAGAAGTTTCGTCATCTTACCAGTGCTCCGAGTCCTGCATCTCGTACACGTACAGTATACAGCCTCTCCTCACTTAATGATGGAGTTCCATTTCTAAGACCACATTGGTAAACGAATTCGTTGGTAAGTGAGGAGCATACTATAATGGTAGTGGGTTTGTGTCAGCCATCTTTGATATTGTTTTAATGTCACCTTTGCACCATTTATAACATTTCTAGTATATTTTTAAATGCTTATACAGTAGTGTACTGTATATGTATTGTAATAAACAGAATTAAGGAAATCATTACTTATTTAGGTATGCACACTGGTCAGAGAGCCCGTTGTAAGTCCAAGTCATCGGTAAACGAGTATGTTGCTAAGTGAGGAGAGGCTGTATTAATATACAGTAGATGACTGTAGGCAGTCAGGGGTTAAATCCTTGAAATTTAAAAACCTCTGTAATGTTTAACCTATTTCTAATATTGTGACTATTGATTTCAATAAATAGTTGTACAGTGGACCCCCGCATAACGATTACCTCCGAATGTGACCAATTATGTAAGTGTATTTATGTAAGTGCGTTTGTACGTGTATGTTTGGGGGTCTGAAATGGACTAATCTACTTCACAATATTTCTTATGGGAACAAATTCGGTCGGTACTGGCACCTGAACACACTTCTGGAGTGAAAAAATATCGTTAACCGGGGGTCCACTGTACTACTTAAGTACAGTGGTACCTTGAGTTTCGAACAGCTCCCAACTCAAACAATTATGAAAGTCTGTTTTTGTAAGTGCTTTTGTAAGTGTATTTTTGGGGGTCTGAAACGGACTAATTTACATTATTCCTTATGGGAACAAATTCGTTTGGTATTCGGCACTCAAACAGCCTTCTGGAATGAATTAAGTTCGTAGCCCGAGATACCACTGTACTTGAATATATATGATAAGTTCTAGCTACACGGGTTATTAAAATACATTTAAACTGAGTTGATATAATAGATGGAAATTTAGTTGTCAAGGCAGTAAATGCAGGCTTTTTACAAATTGATGATGTGAACATATTCTTAGGTCTTTTGATTAAAATGTTCAAGAAAGTTTAATTACTCTCCTTTCCTATTTCATAAGTAAATTTTACATTAGGATGTTGGTCATTTAAGCAACCAAAGAATAACTGAACATGATCAGGAGACTTGAAAATTGAAAAAAAAAAAAAAGAATCATCTACATATCTTCTATACAACAGTGGTTTGAAATGTACTGGCCAGTTATTAAGCCAATTCTTCTTGTGAAAACTAAAAAAAAGCATTGTCCATAGTTGGACCCAGACAGTTACCCATATCACCATCATGCACTTGTGTATATATACAGCTCTTAACCCTTTCAGGGTCGACAGGCCCTCTCCTAAACTTGTTCTCAGGGTTGGAAATTTTTCAGAAAAAAAAAAACTTATGAAATGATAGAGAATCTTTTCCCGATCATAATGACACCAAAAGTATGAAATTTGATGGAAAACTTACGGAATTATGCTCTCGTGAAGTTAGCGGTCTCGACGATGTTTATGCATCGGCGATTTCGCCCACTTTGAGCCCTATTCCCATGTTCGAGTCAAAGAAATCATAACTATTTCGCTAGAACTCCATTTTTTCTATCGAATGAGTACAAGAAATCACCCATTTACCGATTTCAACTATCCAATAAAGTGGTCAGAAATTGGCAGTTTTAACAATTTCACACAAATTTCAAAAGGTGTCAATTTCCAAATAGGGTCCAGAATAAACCAAACAAGACATTCCTGGCACTAAAAGAACATTTCCTCTGTTCATTAGTCATGTCCCCAGGCCTCTGTTACATTTCTTTTGCTTTCCACTTTGAATTTTTATTCTCACAAAAAATGTTATGCAGACTACTGCATTAGTGTAGAAATGGTATAAATAATATCAGCGCACTTGTGAAAGAATATTAGACTCACCAGTTGATGTGTATTAGACGCATGGCATGATTTGTTTACTTTTGAACTTTGGCAAAAATCGAACATTTCTGCTACTTTGAGCTGAATTTCATGGTACTTTTCATTGTGAAACCAATCAAAATCATCCCAATTTCCGTAATATGTCTTCCATTCTATAAAATGAGACCAGGAAAACTAGAATACAACCATAAATATCATACGAAAATACACTGCAAAGTTGCTGTTTTAAACCAAAAACACAGTCGGAGTTTTTTTTTTCCTCTCATTATGCACTGTGTGCTGCAGGACTTTTTTTTTTTTATACTGCACACACTGACCACATAGACCCATTCTTTCATATGTAGGCCTACCAGCTTTCTCTCGTTAGATTTGAAGGCGCTAGAATTTATGAGTACTAGTACGGCACCAACCCTGGCGTGCAAATTGTACTAATATGGCACCAACCCTGAAAAGGTTAAACATGAATAAACAATCATTTACTTGTAATAACAATAATTTATGGAATTAGTGTATACCTGTCTTTCCCTTTTTCTTGGTTGGAAGAGTTGTTAAGGATCCTGTTGAGGCCTTTAATAGTAGTGGAGGTAATGGTAGTAGAGGTAATTTGTTGAGCCTGGAAGTATTGGCAGGAACATTACAATGTTGCTGTTTTCGATTTGGGTGTATTAAGAATTTTTATGTCTTTTTCTGCAATTGTGCACGGAAGTGTTGAGAAAATGTATGGTAGTTTAGAGAGGGTATCCATGATGTTACAAGACTCATTCTCAAATAAATTAAGGCTACATAGTTTATAAGTTCTTAAAAAAGAAGCAGCTTATTCCCAGTGTTGTGGTGTTACTAGAAGTGGATGGAATCTTTCTGCTTGGTAGGTTTTCAGTAAACTTTGAAATGAGGGTGCTGGATGCTTGATTATTATTATAATCAAGGGGAAGCTCTTGTGGGAGCAATGTGGAAGGTATTCAGGCTTAATTCAGGGAACTGGAGTACAGATCCATTTCCCTAGATCAAGAACCCTTCAGTATCAAGGGACCTTTCTTGAGGAGCTGGATGCTTTGAAAATCAAGAGGTCAAGAAAATGTAAGGTGTTGTTATCTTCTAGGGTAAACTGGATAGATGACTGGATGGCATTAAGGTCATCTGAGAGGGTAATCAGGTCAAGTTCTTTGGGAGCAATGATGAGTATGTCATTGGTATATCTCATCCAGTAGACACTAGTAGAAATGATGTTTTTTAATCAGGCTCTTAACTTCTCCATGTAGATGGCAAGAACTGTGTTGATGGGTGACCCAAAGGTTATGCCAAACTGTTGTTTATATAGTTTATTTTCAGATGAGAAAGTTGTAAATCACACACAACTCTAGATCAGTTAATTTTTGTGAGGTAAGGGGAAACTGCATTATCTGTGATCTTTCTCTCAGATTTTTTTTTTTTCAACAAGTCGGCCATCTCCCACCGAGGCAGGGTGACCCAAAAAAGAAAGAAAATCCCCAAAAAGAAAATGCTTTCATCATCATTCAACACTTTCACCACACTCACACATAATCACTGTTTTTGCAGAGGTGCTCAGAATACAACAGTTTAGAAGCATATACATATAAAGATACACAACATATCCCTCCAAACTGCCAATATCCCAAACCCCTCCTTTAAAGTGCAGGCATTGTACTTCCCATTTCCAGGACTCAAGTCCGACTATATGAAAATAACCGGTTTCCCTGAATCCCTTCACTAAATATTACCCTGCTCACACTCCAACAGATCGTCAGGTCCCAAGTACCATTCGTCTCCATTCACTCCTATCTAACACGCTCATGCACGCTTGCTGGAAGTCCAAGCCCCTTGCCCACAAAACCACCTTTACCCCCTCTCTCCAACCCTTTCGAGGACGACCCCTACCTCGCCTTCCTTCCCCTATAGATTTATATGCTTTCCATGTCATTCTACTTTGATCCATTCTCTCTAAATGACCAAACCACCTCAACAACCCCTCTTCTGCCCTCTGACTAATACTTTTATTAACTCCACACCTTTTCCTAATTTCCACACTCCGAATTTTCTGCATAATATTTACACCACACGTTGCCCTTAGACAGGACATCTCCACTGCCTCCAACCGTCTCCTCGCTGCTGCATTTACCACCCAAGCTTCACACCCATATAAGAGTGTTGGTACTACTATACTTTCATACATTCCCTTCTTTGCCTCCATAGATAACATTTTTTGACTCCACATATACCTCAATGCACCACTCACCTTTTTTCCCTCGTCAATTCTATGATTAACCTCATCCTTCATAAATCCATCCGCCGACACGTCAACTCCCAAGTATCTGAAAACATTCACTTCTTCCATACTCCTCCTCCCCAATTTGATATCCAATTTTTCTTTATCTAAATCATTTGATACCCTCATCACCTTACTCTTTTCTATGTTCACTTTCAACTTTCTACCTTTACACACATTCCCAAACTCATCCACTAACCTTTGCAATTTTTCTTTAGAATCTCCCATAAGCACAGTATCATCAGCAAAAAGTAACTGTGTTAATTCCCATTTTGAATTTGATTCCCCATAATTTAATCCCACCCCTCTCCCAAACACCCTAGCATTTACTTCTTTTACAACCCCAACTATAAATATATTAAACAACCATGGTGACATTAAACATCCATGTCTAAGACCTACTTTTACCGGGAAGTAGTCTCCCTCTCTTCTACACACCCTAACCTGAGCCTCAGTATCCTCATAAAAACTCTTTACAGCATTTAGTAACTTACCACCTATTCCATATACTTGCAACATCTGCCACATTGCTCTCCTATCCACTCTATCATATGCCTTTTCTAAATCCATAAATGCAACATAAACTTCCCTACCTTTATCTAAATACTGTTCACATATATGCTTCAATGTAAACACTTGATCTACACATCCCCTACCCACTCTGAAACCTCCTTGCTCATCCGCAATCCTACATTCTGTCTTACCTCTAATTCTTTCAATTATAACCCTACCGTACAATTTTCCTGGTATACTCAATAAACTTATTCCTCTATAATTTTTACAATCTCTTTTGTCCCCTTTCCCTTTATATAAAGGGACTATACATGCTCTCCGCCAATCCCTAGGTACCTTCCCCTCTTTCATACATTTATTAAACAAAAGTACCAACCACTCCAACACTATATCCCCCCCTGCTTTTAACATTTCTGTCATGATCCCATCAGTTCCAGCTGCTTTACCCCCTTTCATTCTACGTAATGCCTCGCGTACCTCCCCCACACTTACATTCTGCTCTTCTTCACTCCTAAAAGATGGTATACCTCCCTGACCAGTGCATGAAATTACCGCCTCCCTTTCTTCCTCAACATTTAAAAGTTCCTCAAAATATTCTCGCCATCTACCTAATACCTCCCTCTCCCCATCTACTAACTCCCCTACTCTGTTTTTAACTGACAAATCCATACTTTCCCTAGGCTTTCTTAACTTGTTTAACTCCAAAATTTTTTCTTATTTTCATTAAAATTTCTTGACAGTGCCTCTCCCACTCTATCATCTGCTCTCCTTTTGCACTCTCTCTCCACTCTCTTCACCTTTCTTTTACTCTCCATATACTCTGCTCTTCTTATAACACTTCTAAGCTAACTTTTTCTCTTTTATCACACCCTTTACTTCATCATTCCACCAATCACTCCTCTTTCCACCTGCCCCCACCCTCCTATAACCACAAACTTCTGCCCCACATTCTAATACTGCATTTTTAAAACTATTCCAATCCTCTTCAACCTCCCCACTACTCATCTTTGCACTAGCCCACCTTTCTGCCAACAGTCGCTTATATCTCCCCGAACTTCCTCCTCCCTTAGTTTATACACTTTCACCTCCCTCTTACTTGTTGTTGCCACCTTCCTCTTTTCCCATCTACCTCTTACTCTAACTGTAGCTACAACTAAATAATGATCCGATATATCAGTTGCCCCTCTATAAACATGTACATCCTGGAGCCTACCCATCAACCTTTTATCCACCAATACATAATCTAACAAACTACTTTCATTACGTGCTACATCATACCTTGTATATTTATTTATCCTCTTTTTCATAAAATATGTATTACTTATTACCAAATCTCTTTCTACACATAGCTCAATTAAAGGCTCCCCATTTACATTTACCCCTGGCACCCCAAATTTACCTACTACTCCCTCCATAACATTTTTACCCACTTTAGCATTGAAATCCCCAACCATCATTACTCTCACACTTGATTCAAAACTCCCCATGCATTCACTCAACATTTCCCAAAATCTCTCTCTCTCCTCTACACTTCTCCAGGTGCATACACACTTACTATAACCCACTTTTCACATCCATATAATCCTTGAATTAATACATTTATAGTCCCTCTTTTCCTGCCATAGCTTATCCTTCAACATTATTGCTACTCCTTCTTTAGCTCTAACTCTATTTGAAACCCCTGACCTAATCCCATTTATTCCTCTCCATTGAAACTCTCCCACCCCCTTCAGCTTTGTTTCACTTAAAGCCAGGACATCCAGCTTCTTTTCATTCATAACATCCACAATCATCTCTTTCTTATCATTTGCACAACATCCACGCACATTCAGACTTCCCACTTGACAATTTTCTTCTTCTTATTCTTTTTAGTAATCTTTACAGGAAAAGGGGTTACTAGCCCATTGTTCCCGGCATTTTAGTTGACTTTTACAACACGCATGGCTTACGGAGGAAAGATTCTTCTTCCACTTCCCCATGGATATAAAAGGAAAAGTAATAAGACCAAGAACTATTAAGATAAAATCAAAGAAAACTCAGATGAGTGTGTATAAATAAACGTGTACATGTATGTGTAGTGTGACCTAAGTGTAAGTAGAAGTAGCAAGACATACCTGTAATCTTGCATATTTATGAGACAGACAAAAGACACCAGCAATCCTACCATCATGTAAAACAATTACAGGCTTTTGTTTTACATTCACTTGGCAGGACGGTAGTACCTCCCTGGGTGGTTGCTGTCTACCAACCTACTAATATAATATAAATTATAATATAAATAAATACCCTGGTAAATACACACATCTAGGCTAGTTTCTTATTACTAGCTAGTTTCTTGTTACTGATGTTTGCATATTTAATTCTGGAGTCTCTTGGTAAAGGTTCCTTGATGCTGACAAAGGACTCTTGACAAGAGATCAAACCTGATTGCCTCCTATACCCTAAGTGGTGTATGATCCTTTTAGGTTTAGCCCTTCCTTTAAATATAATGCTAATAATAATTCTGGAGATCAAGTTTCTTGAGTGTTTATGATGTGCTCTGTTGACAAGGCCTATTTGGAGGACTCAGCAAGAATAGTATAATTAGCACTTTTTTACTTAGGTTATTATTTTTATAATTTGCCACATTTTTTAGGCACTACACAACCCCTATGGGTTTAGTGCTTCTTGAATAATATTATAATACAACATTTCTTAAAAGACATTATTGCATATTGCAAATTCCTGTGTAAGGATACAGTATATGTATGGTAGTATGAGCTTAATAAAATAATAAAGGGAAAAAACTTTGATTACAGAGTGGTGGGGTGAGTGTAGAGGAGTTCCATGGAGGGCTGCAGGAGGTTACACACTTTCCTCTTCGCCCCTTTGTATTGCCCTTTTTGCGTTCCCACCTACCTCTTCTGCAGCGAGAACTGCAGAGCCTTGCCCGCCGTGCTGCCATGGTTAGTTAGGGAATATTGGAAATGGGAAACTCCAGTACACTTTATATCTAAATTCACGAGACTTCTGAAATGCTATAAAATTTTACAGAAACATGAAGTGAGGATTGAGTGTCAGTTAAAAAGCAGATAAGAATATTCCTGAAGAGCAAAAAGTCAAGACAAGTATCCAGTTCATTTGCTTACCAATTAATGTTTCAAAGCAGTTTAGCATGCACCATGACAATTGCCTTCATTCACTTCAGTTTTGAATGTAGTATAGGATGTGTACCATATCCATAATAGACTACCTGGTTAGACAATTGCTAATTATAATGAAATCTGAGTTAATGAGAAAAATACAAACATTATTTAGAAATTTAGAGAAAATCAGAAAAATGTGTTATATTTAACCTCACCCCAGAAGCATAAATTTGCAAATTAATGGTGACTTGATTAGAGCATCAGTTTAGTAGGTTAATGTCTTAAAGGTTATGACGCAGTTTTCTGTCTCTGCAGCCGGTGTCACAGTACGTTGCTGTGCATGAAGCAGCACTGCTGGAATCTACTGCAGGAGAGCCCACTGATTTCTTCTCTTCAGAGGTTACTAGTAGTAAACGTCGTCATGAAGGGTGAGTGCAGTGTCTGGTACACTTTCCAAACTGAAAGTAAAAATCGATTGACTTAAGTCATATTTTTTTATTTGGGGTGCATTAACTTTATGCTTTTTACTATATTAAATTAGCAGTTTAAGATTAAGACATCTTTCTAGGTACTTTGAAAATGGGGACAGTGGTGGTGGTAGTGGAGGGGGTGTCTCCCCACCACCCTCAAAGCGGCTTGGCATTTTTTCTCCGCCCTACCCAAGTGTGGGCATGAGTCCTGACCCTCCTCTACATTCTCGAGATTATCGTACCCCAGCTCCACCAGATGATGAATGGAAGAACATCCATGTTGTAAGTACATTTACGACCTGGTAATAAAGTTCTCTTGGTGACTTACATCAATCACAGCTAAGCACTAAACCTATAAGGGTCATACAGGAATTACAATGAGCTTTTGATCATTAACAAATAATTAATGAATTTTTTCTTTGTTATTGACTTATTTTTGTACTCTATTTATTCTGGCGAGGGGAACTTGATCCAAGGAATTAAACTTGTCCTCCCCTTCCTTTGATTGAACCTGATTGTCTCCCATTCTCAAAGTTTTATATAACCCCATAAGGGTTTAATGATTCCCCTAAATTATGTTCAGTCTAGATGCTAAATCAATATGGGTCATTATAGCCTTTCCCTAAAAATAATTACATTGTACTGTAACTGTCAAGACCATTTTTATGTACATATTTTAATCTTTTTGTATAATTTTTTTTTTTTGAGAGATTACTTAACATATTTAATTGTGTTGAGCATTACCATAGTTGCAGTTGCAGCCATTATCATGAACAAGATTTTAACATAAATTGTCTTATAAAAACTAAATAGTTTAGAGTTAATCTCAAAGAATGTAAACTTTAGTGTTCGTGCAAATCAACTAGATACAGCAGTCTCCCCATATCCGTGGGGGGATAAGTTCCAGTACTTACCGCGGATACCCGAAACCACAGATAGTTGTGAACCCAATATTTAAGTAATTTTTTGTTTACATACATACCTATGATACAGTTTGATAAATTATGCACACTAAGTCGAGAATTAGCACTTTTTTAACTGATGGGAAGCACTTCATGGCTTCTCTTAGGCTTTGAAGAACTGTCACCATCACTGCTTTTGCACTTTGGTGTCATTATTAAGCAAAATTAAGGGTTATTTTCAGGCCAGGGTAAACAGCCGATAATTGAAACTGTGGAAACCAGACCTGCGGATAAGGCAGTCCTGCTGTTTATAAAAGTCGCTCAGTTAAAAGTTAATTTTAGGGTTGACTGAAATGCTCTGCATAACTAGGGGCTTTCTGTAAAGCATGTCACTAATGTCAACTAATCCTATATCAATTATATAATGTACTTTTTTAAAATGAAGATTTTTATTATTATTATGATGGTTAGTTAATTTGGGGCACATGTTAAAGTAAATAATTTTATACTATCAAAGTTAATACGTACTTTATATATCCTATGTTTTCATTAAAGTGATGAAACTTTTGAAAAATATATAAATACCTCATAACTATTGAATTTTTCTTTATTCTAGTGTTTTAAGTATAAAAGAGTTAAAAACATCCAGTAGTGTAATATGAATAAAAGAAGTTATTAAAATGGTGGAGCACTAAACCCATAAGGTTCATACAGCACTAGGGGATGGGAGGCAGTCAGGTTTGATCCAAGGAAGCATTCAGTTCCTTAGAATTCATTGAAGCCCCCTGCCAGGATCAAAACTTCCCTTGAGAGGTCAAAGTAGTTGAAGTGTTACCCCTGTGTCACTTGAATATTCACATTACACCTTGTAATGGCTACTTCTACTATACTCTTCATGGGAGGTTCTTTGATGCTGGAGAAGGACTTTTCATGTAAAGAATTGGAGCTTCCCATTCCTTCCTTGGATCACACCTGATTATCACCTAGTTCGAAGGTGCTGTGTGACCCTCTACAGGTCAAATAATGTGCCCTTGAGGAGGCTCTTCCAGTCATATATGTATACAGTATTGTGTCCACTCTTTTCACAGGAATCACAGATTTTATTTGGCATTATTTATTGTCTTACTCCTGTATCCACAGCCAACTTGGAGTTTTGTTATAAAAATATCTGTAAAGTTTCATTGTTTAATTATAATTTAGTTTTGTTGAATACCTATGCTGTATTTGCCCTGTCTCTTGTGTATCACATCTAAACTTTGCCATCCAGATGTTGACGTGTATCCTAAGTATGGTGGAGAAGACTCGTCGAGCTCTAACAATGTTGCAGCAAAAGGAAGATCGTGATGGGAGCAGTGGCATTTCCAGAGTAAGTGGCTTAGGTGCAACAGATCTCCGACAGCGAGCTGATTATGATGCAGAGGTACGTCGTCATGCTGCTGAGCTTGTTGCGCAGTCTATCCGTACAACAGAGGAGAGGGTATCAGAGGTCAAGCGCAAAGCTGGTGAGTTACTTTAATGAAGTGATATTATTGTTACAAACATAACTAAGCCCTGATCCCCATGAAGTGATAATTGTTGTATATAAGCACTAATTTTCTCTGTTATATTAAAATTTGTCATCATTGTTTTGTTGTACAGTGTCAGCCAAATTGTTTCCTTGAATTACAGGGCATCAATTCAGCTCTGGGTTTGCATTTTTTTTTTTTTTCATTAAAAGGAAAGCCTTCTGTTATATTCAAAGAAGATGAGCATAAATCAAGGTTCTGAGGATATTCCTCCAAGAAAGGACTCAAAATAATGGATTCAAATTAGATACATTTAGGTTTAGAAAGGATGTAGGAAACTACTAGTTTGGAAATAAGAGTAGTCGATGAGTGAAACACACTGCCTAGTAGACTCATTGAAATAAAACCTTAGTAGCTTCAAATATAGGTTGGATAAATACACAGGTGAAAGGGGTTGGATTTGAGTGGGACTTGCATGCATTAATAGGGTTACCAAAGTTTATACCTTGAGAATGGGTGGGAAAAATAATTTGTTAAAGTGTGGGTTTGAAAAGGACTTGCCTAGTATGAGCCAGCAAGGATGTTTCAGCATTCCTTCAGTATGTTCTATTTGATATGCATATTTTTGATCTTTGTTTAATTGTATGGTTTTAGTTTCATTCCCAAACATATTTGTCTTATCAATACTTGTTGCCATCCAAGCCAGTACCTTTTCTAGTCCAATGTTGTTGAAGTCAACTGGATCTGGATAAGAGATAAAGGTAGTGTTATCTGTGAATGTGACTGGTTTAGTTTGTTGAAATGCATTTGTAGGTCACTGATGTAAAGGAGAAATAAAAGTGGTCCTTTGGATGGATGCTGTCTTGCAGCACCATGTTGATAGTTTGAATTATTATTATTATAATCAAGGGGGAAGCGCTAAACCCGGAGGATTATACAGCGCCTGGGGGGGGGGGGATGTGGAAGGCATTCAGGCTTAATTCGGGGAACCGGAGCACAGACCCAATTCCCCAAATCAAGAGCCCCTCACCAACATCAAGGAACCTTCCTTGAGGGGATAGTTTGAATTGATAAAGTGGCATCATAATAACTGAACTAGGACTATATGAGAGTACACTCCATTATGTTAGTGTTATTTTTATTACAATCAGAAAGAAGAACTAAACGTACAAGGGTCATACAGCGAGTTTAAGAGTAGGATGTCAGGGGCTACTGTATCGGTTTCTTTTTTTTACTTAAAGAGGCCCATTGAATATTCATTGTTTTCTAGGGCTATGTAAATTGAATCAAGAATTTTTATTATATAATTATTTTTTTGCCTGATATCAAACTAGCAAGGGTAAAGAATATGGCGTTTGGTTGAATTCATTCATTCACTAATACATAACTTAAACTGTAATAATAAAATAAGTGCTATTTAAATCTCAGAGTATTACAGTAGTATATACAGTGTCCACTATCCTCAGTATGCATTTCCAGACTAGTTACTGTACAGTAGCTTCCTTTTGCCTTCCAGAGGAAGCTGTATCAGAAGTTCGGCGAGCAGCTGTAGCAGAAGTACAACGAGCTGTTGGTGCAGCAGAGGCTCGAGCCCAGGAGCTTGTAGCAGCAGAGAGGGCCAAGGTAGAAGCCCTTTTACGGGAAGTAGGGAGAAGAGACTCCTCGGAGCCTCGTGCAGAGCCACAGCAGGTACTTCAAACACTTGCCATATTATTATTATAATCAAAAAGAAGCACTAAGCCACAAGGGCTATACAGCAACACTTGCCATAGCAGGGCTTTATGCTCACCACTACAACACACTGTGAAGGGAGCAACAGGTACCTTAAATACTTGAAGTAAGGGGAAGGTGGGAAGGAGTTTCTTTAAAACACTGTAGAGGGAGTAGCAGGTAATTAATATTACCAGTAAGGAAAATGCATGTTGACATGTATTATAAAAAATGCATACCTTTGGCATTTCCTGTATTATCATCATTGACACACCCTAACTGAATGACATATTAGAAGTAAGCATCTTTAAGGGGATGCACATTCTTCACAAAATACAGGCATATCTTACTGAATTTTGTTCGATATCAGTACATTATGAGGGCAGCATTTAACAAGCAGGGTATATTAAACCTGGAGGAATGGGGAGGGGGCAAGGGAAGGTTAAGAGATATGCAAGAAAATATTTGGCCTTTCATCTACTTAAAATATTTAGCTGTAAAAAAGTTATTTAATGCTTATTAGATAGCCTTCTGTACATGTTAGCACTCCTCATAAATAATCTGTGTTAAGCTTTGCTAAGTAGTCTGGTGGTGGCATGCAGTGTTTGCTCATCTGACTATTAAACACTGAGGTGTATAGCTGTTTGGACATTTGGAGAGGATGGAGAAAAATAGGATGACTAGGAGGATGTATAAATCTAGGTTTGAGGGAGGGAATGGAGAAGGTTTTGAGTCTAGGGGGCTTGGACATCAGCAGGTTTATCTGAGCATGTTAAATAGGAGTGAAGGCAATAAATATTTATGATTTGACATGTTGTTGGACTGTGAGCTAGGTAACACAAAGGGATTCAGGGACACTAGTTAGCCAGACTTTAGTCCTGGAGGTGAAAGCATAGTGCCTGCATTTTGAAAGGGGTGGGAATATTGCAATGTGGGAAGAATAATCTGTACTGATATTGGCACCCTTCTCCAAGACAATGTTTTCTTTGTTGGGTTATTCTGCCTTGGTGGGAGACAGCTGTAGTGTTAAAAATAAATGTATGTATATACACAAGATTGTAATTTTTTAATGTGCACATAAAAAAAAAATTTTTTCCTTCAGATCCCCAAACACAAAGGAAGTACAAATTTTACTTTGCATACACATTTTTAAACTTGAATAGATTACACTATAGATGTAGGAATTACTTAAATTTCAGTACAGAAGTTTGGGAAGAGAGGGAGGTTATGAGCAGAGTTTAACTTTGCTACATAAATAATTGGTCGGTACCCTGCCAGTGGCTTGGAAAAGCTTAGTATTAAACTTAAAATTTAAAGTAAAAATGTAAGTAATACTTATTCAGATGAACAAAGGTTTTTTTTTTTCTGTATAATTCAAAGGCCTACACTTTCACATAAAATTAAATTTATACCATCCTAGGCAAAGCAGCATGCAACACTTTAGAGCCAATTAAGCATTGTTGAGCACTACAAAAAAACAAAACTTGCCAGAAAATCAAGAGGTTGCCGTACTAGTCCTGGCCCCTCCCCCACACGCGCCCCTGACTGTGGCTCTCCTCCAGGCGTGCTGGAACTGCGGCAGGAAGGCCCACGAGACCTGCAGTGGTTGCAATGTTGCACGTTACTGTGGCCCCTTCTGCCAGCACAAGGACTGGGACTCTCATCATAAGGTCTGCTCACCTGTCCTGGCATCATCGTCTTCGTCTTCTGCTTCATCATCCTCTGCATCCTCATCTACTGCCATCATTGCAGCCCTTGTTTCTAAAAGTAAATTCAGCAAAACTTCAGATACTACAAAGACAGAGTGACCAAAGATTAAAGGATCACTTAAACGAAAATGTCATAGTAAGACAAGAATAATAGGCACTTTTCATAAAGAATAAACTTGCAAATGTCATTGAAGAAGTTACATCCTGTATAGACCCATTGTGAATAATGAATTCAATCACTAGAAGGGATGTATTAGTGCAACTTTTCAATTTCTGATCAATCTGTCATGCGAGATATTTAAAGTTAATCTGTAAATAAGCTAAAGACATGAATTACTAGAAAAGTGAGAATATAGCAAAATTACTTTGTTGATACTGTGTGAGATAAAATTTAAAGCTGAATAACCAAGCGAGTTGTACAATTATTTAAACTTGTGGATACTGTGACTAAATAATAAAACTCATTTTGATAGTCTTTGAAATATTGTGTGAATGTACTCTGTCCCTCTAAGACTAGACAAAATAATGAGCATTAAAAGACCTTGGATGACTTATAGACTCCATGCATCACAGGTTTCAAGATGGTGGTGAATAGGTTTATTGGGTCAGTTTGTTTTTTAAGAAAATACAGTAAAGATATTGAGGAACAATTCCTGAAATTTAAGAAAAAAAAAATGTATTACCAGAACTTGCACTGTAAATATAATTACAATGTACATTACACAAATATGCTGCAATACACTTTTAAGTGCATGTGATTAATCTGTGTTCCTGTTGTGGTGATAAATTCAAAATAGATAATACTTGTATTTAATAAGTACATGTATGATACAATAATTATCTACAGAGGGAACTTGACAAATTTTTAGAATGCATATTGTGGTTGCAACATGGATTCAATCATTCTCTGTTTAGTCAGGACACAGCTGTTCATGGCAAACTAAGACGTGTTACTGACGAAAGAATTGTTGTGCAACTATGAAAAAACCAAACACATTGAGTACTGATAAAAGTTTTAAATAATTGGTGCAGTATTAAGTTCAGTACCAGCCAGTCCATTTGAGCCAAGATAAATGTCGTTCAGGGTGATAAGTGCTTACTATGCAAATATGAAAATTGTGTGCAAGTATTAAGAGGATGCTATTTGCTGTAGGATTATAGTACCTTGCTGGTCTCCATCTCTAGCTTGTTTATAAGGGACAGTTGTCATGAAAATTATAAGAAAAAAAGTGCTTAAACTCACATGGGTCATACAGTGTCATGTAAAAAAAGACATTTCAGGAACTGCAGTTTCTTATTTGTATAAGTGGCTTAGAACCTTTATACTTAGGCTTTAATCTAAAGATCTTTGAATTTGTGGCTAGGTCTTTTGGTGCACTCCTGAAGCACCATTGTGACAAATTTTTGAGCTAATTGAATATACAACACTATGGAGAAACAAGAACACCATACAGTGAGAACCTTCTTTCAGAAGTTAAAAATATTGATATTACTGTAAAAAAAAAAAAAAAAAAAAAAAAAAAACTGCAAGTTGTCAGTAATTAACTGCCAATACATTACTTGTACATTAGTTTTATCACTTTTCATATGACGGGTCACTATACAACATACTACATTATGTAATTATCAGTACAAATATTGAACCAGAAGACAAGCATTGTACAGTAATGTGTATCATGAACCTGTAAACCAAAGATTATAGACATAGACAACTTCTAGCGATGACGTTATTACTCCGCCTTGCATATAGTGACCAGGTATGGACCCTAAGTAAAGTTGGCAATAAAGATTTCAGTTGCATGGTAGAGTAAACTTGATTAGCATAATTTTTTGTGTGTCTAGTCACAATATAAATGTTTATTATGATATGTAGATTTTTCAGTGTTTTGAACACTCAAAAGCATTTTTTTGATACCTTTCAATGTTATAAAAAATGGAAACAGATACCCAATAAAGTTAAGCTTACTGAACCACTTAATATAATAAAAGATGCAAATTTTTTTGCAGGATATTACTGTTTCAATATGTAAAAACACTGTAGAATGTTTTAGTAAGTTATGACGTGGTCAGTGTCTTGGATTCGTAAGTCCTGCTCCCATTCATCATATTTCATATTTTGGTTGTAGTTAACATTCATGTTATTGAGAATTTTAAATCACGATGCCATGATAGCACTTTCAAATCTAGTGCTCTAACTGGTAGTTAAGCCATGTATGTGTGAAGGTATTATTGTTTGACCTCATAATTGGTGGTGGTTTTGAACATCTTTCATAATTCTTTGTAATTGGCCAGTGAGGTTCATACATGATATTCAGTTTATGTAAGACAAAACCAGTGGTTGCCAAACTTGTTAATGACTGTATATACTGTATGTTATTATTTATTTAAAAAAAAAAAATACAAAATGCTCTGAATGTTTTTCATATACAGTACCATATGTCCTTTTGCTTTTCATGTTTCAGGGGTAGATATTTTGCCAGATTTTTAGATGAAAAAACTGAAAAGCCTATGGAGAAAAAAAGTAATGATTTCTGAAGAATACTTTTTCAACTTATGGCAAAACATTTATTCCTAAAACTATTTTTCACACACTTTTACTGACCTAATTGAGAAAATAACTGAGCTGTGTATAGTGACAATATTCACACTGTTGAAATATGTGTATTGTATACCAATGTCCTTGTTTTGTAAATAGACCAAGTTTTATCATTTAACGTTTCATTATCCTAATTTGAAATAAATAAAAATGCTAGTTTTATTACAAGTTTTTTGTTTAATTCATTTCAGAACTCATTCCATTTATCAACCTAGCAAATTAATAAACTTAGGTCACTCATAGAGGAACTTACATAAGAAAGTTAAAAAGTTTAATTAGTTTTCTTAGGTTTCTTAATGTTATGCCATTTATTGTATGTAATGTTAGTCCTAAAACCAATCAAAATTCTTTCTTTAATATATCTTCCATTCCACCAAACGAGATGAAGAAACGTTGAATACAACCATAAAAACCATATGAAAATACACCGCAAAGTCACTATTTTAACCAAAAACATGGTCATAGTTTTTTTTCTCGTGCAATGCAGTGCCGCAGGATTTTTTTTATATAGTGCACACATACCACAGACCTATTCTTTCATATGTAGGCCAAAATTTACCGGTCACAGCTTATCTGAGCGAGCTGAGATGGCAACTGACAGTGGCTTCAAAGCCACCTTATCTTTTATAGACACTGCACAGTATATGTGCTTTGCACAACGAGAAGCGTTTCTCTTCGTTAGACCCATGGCTAAGGCTAAAAGTGAGCAGGTTATAACAATAAATGGAAAAAAAGAAATTGGGATGACTTGTGCAAGTAGCAGCTCCAACAGGCAGTAGCAGCAGGTTGGTGTGGCAATCCCGGAAATTATGCTAGTCGAAATTAGTGCTGGATTACTGATGGAACCAGATTACTGATTGCCAGATTAGTGATGGCCAACCTGTCTTAAACTTTCATTCCAATCAGTGCTACTTTTAGTATTGGGTATTCTTTTCCTTTAGCTTTAGTTTATTTTCTCAAACTGAGGAGCATGACCCTGACAAGCCTCAGTATTTTCCCTAAAACGGTCATTATATGCCACGTCAAATTTCTTTCTTGTACTGTACATGCTGTTAGCAAGGGCAAGTTGCTCATTCACAGGGCAGGGACTTCAATAGTACTGGCGAGTCCACACACTTAGGGGACAGATAGAGTATATCTGTATTTGGAAATATACAGTGGACCCCCACCTTACGATATTAATCCGTTCCTGAGAGCTCATCGTAAGCCGAAATTATCGTTAGCCGAATTAATTTTCCCCATAAGAAATAATGGAAATCAAATTAATCCATTCCTGACACCCCAAAGTATGATTTTTTTTTTTTTTTACCACATGAAATATTAATTTTAATACAAACTGAAGAAGACATGCACAACTACTACTCTACTAAGAATAGAATACATGACACGTTTATTGAAGATCTGATGATGATTGATGGGATGGGAGGAGGCGAGTGTGAGGAAGTTATTGTTTAGAAGGGGAATCCCCTTCCATTAGGACTTGAGGTAGCAAGTCCTTTTCTGGGGTTACTTCCCTTCTTTTAATGCCACTAGGACCAGCCTGAGAGTCACTGGACCTCTCGCACAACAAATCCATAGAGCTCTGTACCTCCTGTTCCTTTAAGACTTTCCTAAAATGGGCCATAGCATTGTCATTGTGCAGGTTGCCAACACGGCTTGCAGTAGCTGTGTCAGGGTGATTTTCATCCGTAAAGGTTTGCAGTTCAACCCACTTTGCACGCATTTCCTTAATCTCTTTTTTTCAATTCCATACTAATTCTTGCCCTTTTTACCACAGGGATGGCACTAGAAGCTTTCTTGGGGTCCATGGCTTATTTTGCAGTTACAAGCACTAAAAACACTGGGATAATGTGAAATGTACCAAATGTATGGGTAGATGCGACCGCACTAGCTGGCTTGTAAACACTGGCACTGAGGCTACACGTGGGACGCGTCCTGGATGAATCACGTAAGGAGAGTTTTTTATCGCGAGGCGAGGCAAAATTTTTGTGTTCAAATGCTTCGTATGGCGGATTTAGCGTAACGCGATGCGTTCATAAGGCAGGGGTCCACTGTATTTGTAAACAAACAGGTTTTTGCAACAAGTCAGTGGAATTTATTAAGACTACAAAAACATGCAAACCAAGCTGTACATATGATAGGAAATATAAAGCTATGACTACAAACAATATGTTATTATGTTTTACTTATGCCAAGCTCTATCAAGTTCATATAACTTGATAAAGCTTGTTTGAAGCAAAACATGCTTTTATTCACATCAAACTAAAAACTAACACTGCCTGCTCAGCAAAAATCATACGTAGTACTAAGCATCCGCATATTTAACTTCTGAAAGTTTGTAGTCAAAGTATAGGAATTTCTAAGAAAACCTCTAAAAACACAGTAAAATAGAATGCAGTAAAACTACAGTCATACCCTGTCCTACATCATTAAATGGTTCCAAGAACCGTGATGTAATGCAGTTTTTGACGTAAACCAGACATAATGCCTTAAAATGACAACACCATAAAACTAGCGTAAATAACTTGTGAAAGAATACAGTGGACCCCCGACCAGCGATGGCATCGATTAACGATAAATCTGACTAGCGATACATTTTACTGCAAAAATTTTGCCTCGATTAGCGCTAAAAAACTCTACCAACACTATTCGTTCCGTCTGAGACGCGTCCACTTCTGGCCAGTGTTTACAAGCCAGCCAGCCACCGCGGTCGCTTCCAAGCATACAATCGGAACATTTCATATTATCACAGCCTTTTTAGTGATTGCACCTGCAAAATAAGTCACCATGGGCCCCAAGAAAGCTTCTAGTGCCAACCCAACAGCAAAAAGGGTGAGAATTACTATGGATATGAAGAAAGAGATCATTGCTAAGTATGAAAGTGGAGTGCATGTCTCCGAGCTGGCCAGGCTGTACACAAAACCCCAATCAACCATCGCTACTATTGTGGCCAAAAAAACGGCAATCAAGGAAGCTGTTCTTGCCAAAGGTGCAACTATGTTTTCGAAACTGAGATCGCAAGTGATAGAAGATGTTGAGAGACTGTTATTGGTATGGATAAACGAAAAACAGATAGCATTTCTCAAGCGATCATATGTGAAAAGGCTAGGAAGTTGCATGACGATTTAATTAGAAAAATGCCAGCAACTAGTAGTGATGTGAGTGAATTTAAGGCCAGCAAAGGTTGGTTTGAGAGATTTAAGAATCGTAGTGGCATACATAGTGTGATAAGGCATGGTGAGGCTGCCAGTTTGGACCAAAAAGCAGCTGAAAAATTATTTTATTTTTTTATTATCACACTGGCCGATTCCCACCAAGGCAGGGTGGCCCGAAAAAGAAAAACTTTCACCATCATTCACTCCATCACTGTCTTGCCAGAAGGGTGCTTTACACTAGAGTTTTTAAACTGCAACATTAACACCCCTCCTTCAGAGTGCAGGCACTGTACTTCCCATCTCCAGGACTCAAGTCCAGCCTGCCGGTTTCCCTGAATCCCTTCATAAATGTTACTTTGCTCACACTCCAACAGCACGTCAAGTATTAAAAACCATTTGTCTCCATTCACTCCTATCAAACACGCTCACGCATGCCTGCTGGAAGTCCAAGCCCCTCGCACACAAAACCTCCTTTACCCCCTCCCTCCAACCTTTCCTAGGCCGACCCCTACCCCGCCTTCCTTCCACTACAGACTGATACACTCTTGAAGTCATTCTGTTTCGCTCCATTCTCTCTACATGTCCGAACCACCTCAACAACCCTTCCTCAGCCCTCTGGACAACAGTTTTGGTAATCCCGCACCTCCTCCTAACTTCCAAACTACGAATTCTCTGCATTATATTCACACCACACATTGCCCTCAGACATGACATCTCCACTGCCTCCAGCCTTCTCCTCGCTGCAACATTCATCACCCACGCTTCACACCCATATAAGAGCGTTGGTAAAACTATACTCTCATATATTCCCCTCTTTGCCTCCAAGGACAAAGTTCTTTGTCTCCACAGACTCCTAAGTGCACCACTCACTCTTTTTCCCTCATCAATTCTATGATTCACCTCATCTTTCATAGACCCATCCGCTGACACGTCCACTCCCAAATATCTGAATACGTTCACCTCCTCCATACTCTCTCCCTCCAATCTGATATCCAATCTTTCATCACCTAATATGTGCAGGAATTCAAGGAGTACATAGACAGTGAAGGACTGAAACCTGAACAAGTGTTTAATGGTGACACTGACAATGTTGTGAAACACTTTAGGAATGTCATAAAGGAACGGGAGGTACAGGCCTCTATGGGCAGATATGTTGTGCGACAGAGGTCCAGTGACTCTCAAGCTGGTCCTAGTGGCATTAAAAGAAGAAGGGAAGTAACCCCGAAAAAGGACTTGCCTGGTGGCCTGGTGGTTAACGCTCTCGCTTCACACGGTGAGGGCCTGGGTTCGATTCCCAGCCAGAGTAGAAACTTTGGACGTGTTTCTTTCCACCTGTTGTCTATGTTCCACATCAGTAAAAATGGGTACCCGGGTGTTAGTCGACTGGTGTGGGTCGCATCCTGGGACACTGACCTAAGGAGGCCTGGTCACAGACCGGGCCGTGGGGGCGTTGACCCCCGGAACTCTCTCCAGGTAAAACCTCAAGTCCTAATGGAAGGGGATTCCCCTTCTAAACACTAAGACCATCAACACACTCCCCTCTTCCCATCCCATCAATCATCACCAGATCTTCAATAAAGGTAAGTGTCATGTAACTGTGCATGTCTTCTTCAGTTTGTGTGTATTAAAATTTTTTTTTTTCAATACTTTTGGGTGTCTTGCACGGATTAATTTGATTTCCATTATTTCTTATGGGGAAAATTAACTTGACTAACGATTATTCTGACTAACGATGAGCTCTCAGGAACGGACTAATAGCGTTAGTCGAGGGTCCACTGTATAACTATTGCTAAACCTTAAAGAACACTAAAAACACATTTTAGTCATAACTTTTAAAGAATAACGAACACAATTAAAAATTGTGACGTAGGTGACGTTGCTGAGTGGTGTAAAATCAGACATAATGACATTCGTTGAACTGAAATTTACTCTAGAAAAGTGACATAAAAGTGAATTTGATGTAGGCTGAAATGATGCAAAGCAAGGTATGACTGTATAAATAAAAGAGCTGACAACAATGTTTCCCTAGCATGGATATTTTAACACTGTAAAGACCTTTGTCATTCAGCATGTAGTTTATAAATTTACCTGAGTGTAAAGAGACTGTAGCTGTCACAACCTCTCAGGTCAACTATGGAGTTTGTTTTTCTTCTTGTAGCTGCTTATATTATTCTTGAAGACAGGGAGTCTTCAGGTTACGCACCATATGCCTGTTCCAGTGTTTGATGATATTCCTGTTGATAGTTACATTACTCACTCCTATCTAACATGGTCGCACAAGGCTGTTGCCGAAGCCCCTCACCCACAAAACCTCCTTTACTTCCCTCACTCAGCTCTCTTGGCAATAAAGAATACAAAAAAAATCACCAAAGGTAAAATCCATAATTTAATTTTATTCATAGGGAAGTACTAAACCTGTAGGGGTCATATAGCACCTGAGAAATGAAAGGCATTCAGGGCTGATCCAAGGAAGGGAAGGTAAAGTCCCATTCCTTGAACTAGAATATAAACAATCACAAACATGAAACACATGGAGCTGAGAAGGACAGGCCATTGTTACCAGGCATTTAACTGTCATAGCCTGAATGCCTTTCTTAGCACAGTATTTAACTGACATGGTCATATCTAGATATTCCAAGTCAGTATCTGTTTTACAGTGCAGTAGACTGTCTACTAACATACAATATATTTATGCTTTTTTGCATTAACACGTTTACAAAATTGCGGCATATTTTTGGCGAACATGTCGTATTAACTAGTTTACACAGCAAGGTGTATGTAGGGAAAAAATGTGTCATGCACCAAGTGAGTGAGCCTATGAGCGAGTCCACTGTCTTTCAGAGGAGGCTTACATAATGTATACAACCTCCCTCGTCTTGGTGCTTTGTTCATATGTGCCAGCACTGTATGACCTGGAGGTTTGGCACTTGGTCATTACTGTAATAAAAATAATATTCGTACATGCCCAATACCAGACTCTGCCTGTGTCAACAAATCTATTTTAAATCTATGCTATCATTTCTCATCTCTACAGTAACCATGGCACCCAAGAGGAAGGGAATGATCCTGGAAGTGCAATGAAGCACAACCATGGTCTTGGTGCTATGAAGAAAACAGATCTTCATAAGCTTAAAGGCTTATGTGTGGAGGAAACCATGTGAACCTATGGACTGAATGAGGTATCAATTTGCACAATTAGAAAGAGCAATGTGAAGATATGAGCTTGTGCAACAAGTAACTCAGGTAGCGCCTTCGTGGAAAAAATGACAAACCGGTCACAAAAGCTAAACAAGACAGGAAAGTTGGCAGAGTGGATTGAGCAGAAAAAAACAAGAGAGGTGCACCACTTAAATTTATCTTAATATGAAAAAAAATCTTACAGTGCTACTATAAAACTGTGATGAGAAAGGAAGGCCTGAACAAGAGTTCTCGTTAAGTACAGGTTGGTTCCACAAGTTCAAATTGTAGGTTGTAGTAGGTTGGTAGACAGCAACCACCCAGGGAAGTACTACTGTCCTGCCAGATGACTGTGAAACAGAAACCTGTAACTGTTTTTCATGATGGTAGGATTGCTGGTTTCTTTTTCTGTCTCATAAACACACTAGATAACAGGGATATCTTGCTACTCCTACTTACACTTTGGTCACACTTCACAGACACGCACATGCATATATATATACATACATCTAGGTTTTTCTCCTTTTTCTAAATAGCTCTTGTTCTTCTTTATTTCTTCTATTGTCCATGGGGAAGTGGAAAAGAATCTTTCCTCCGTAAGCCATGCGTGTCATATGAGGCGACTAAAATGCCGGGAGCAATGGGCTAGTAACCCATTCTCCTGTAGACATTTACTAAAAAAGAGAAGAAGAAAAACTTTATAAAACTGGGATGCTTGAATGTGCGTGGATGTAGTGCGGATGACAAGGAACAGATGATTGCTGATGTTATGAATGAAAAGAAGTTGGATGTGCTGGCCCTAAGTGAAACAAAGCTGAAGGGGGTAGGGGAGTTTCGGTGGGGGGAAATAAATGGGATTAAATCTGGAGTATCTGAGAGAGTTAGAGCAAAGGAAGGGGTAGCAGTAATGTTGAAGGATCAGTTATGGAAGGAGAAAAGAGAATATGAATGTGTAAATTCAAGAATTACGTGGATTAAAGTAAAGGTTGGATGCGAAAAGTGGGTCATAATAAGCGTGTATGCACCTGGAGAAGAGAGGAATGTAGAGGAGAGAGAGAGAGATTTTGGGAGATGTTAAGTGAATGTATAGGAGCCTTTGAACCAAGTGAGAGAGTAATTGTGGTAGGGGATCTGAATGATAAAGTAGGAGAAACTTTTAGAGAGGGTGTGGTAGGTAAGTTTGGGGTGCCAGGTGTAAATGATAATGGGAGCCCTTTGATTGAACTTTGTATAGAAAGGGGTTTAGTTATAGGTAATACATATTTTAAGAAAAAGAGGATAAATAAGTATACAAGATATGATGTAGGGCGAAATGACAGTAGTTTGTTGGATTATGTATTGGTAGATAAAAGACTGTCGAGTAGACTTCGGGATGTACATGTTTATAGAGGGGCCACAGATATATCAGATCACTTTCTAGTTGTAGCTACACTGAGAGTAAAAGGTGATGGGATACAAGGAGAATAGAAGCATCAGGGAAGAGAGAGGTGAAGGTTTATAAATTAAAAGAGGAGGCAGTTAGGGTATGATATAAACAGCTATTGGAGGATAGATGGGCTAATGAGAGCATAGGCAATGGGGTCGAAGAGGTATGGGGTAGGTTTAAAAATGTAGTGTTAGAGTGTTCAGCAGAAGTTTGTGGTTACAGGAAAGTGGGTGCGGGAGGGAAGAGGAGCGATTGGTGGAATGATGATGTAAAGAGAGTAGTAAGGGAGAAAAAGTTAGCATATGAGAAGTTTTTACAAAGTAGAAGTGATGCAAGGAGGGAAGAGTATATGGAGAAAAAGAGAAGGGTTAAGAGAGTGGTGAAGCAATGTAAAAAGAGAGCAAATGAGAGAGTGGGTGAGATGTTATCAACAAATTTTGTTGAAAATAAGAGAAAGTTTTGGAGTGAGGTTAACAAGTTAAGGAAGCCTAGAGAACAAATGGATTTGTCAGTTAAAAATAGGAGAGTTATTAAATGGAGAGTTAGAGGTATTGGGAAGACGGAGGGAATATTTTGAGGAATTGTTAAATGTTGATGAAGATAGGGAAGCTGTGATTTCGTGTATAGGGCAAGGAGGAATAACATCTTGTAGGAGTGAGGAAGAGCCAGTTGTGAGTGTGGGGGAAGTTCGTGAGGCAGTAGGTAAAATGAAAGGGGGTAAGGCAGCCGGGATTGATGGGATAAAGATAGAAATGTTAAAAGCAGGTGGGGATATAGTTTTGGAGTGGTTGGTGCAATTATTTAATAAATGTATGGAAGAGGGTAAGGTACCTAGGGATTGGCAGAGAGCATGCATAGTTCCTTTGTATAAAGGCAAAGGGGACAAAAGAGAGTGCAAAAATTATAGGGGGATAAGTCTGTTGAGTATACCTGGTAAAGTGTATGGTAGAGTTATTATTGAAAGAATTAAGAGTAAGACGGAGAATAGGATAGCAGATGAACAAGGAGGGTTTAGGAAAGTTAGGGGGTGTGTGGACCAGGTGTTTACAGTGAAACACACAATTTTTTTTTATTATCACACTGGCCGATTCCCACCAAGGCAGGGTGGCCCGAAAAAGAAAAACTTACACCATCATTCACTCCATCACTGTCTTGCCAGAAGGGTGCTTTACACTACAGTTTTTAAACTGCAACATTAACACCCCTCCTTCAGAGTGCAGGCACTGTACTTCCCATCTCCAGGACTCAAGTCCGGCCTGCCGGTTTCCCTGAACCCCTTCATAAATGTTACTTTGCTCACACTCCAACAGCACGTCAAGTATTAAAAACCATTCGTCTCCATTCACTCCTATCCAACACACTCACGCATGCCTGCTGGAAGTCCAAGCCCCTCGCACACAAAACCTCCTTTACCCCCTCCCTCCAACCTTTCCTAGGCCGACCCCTACCCCGCCTTCCTTCCACTACAGACTGATACACTCTTGAAGTTATTCTGTTTCGCTCCATTCTCTCCACATGTCCGAACCACCTCAACAACCCTTCCTCAGCCCTCTGGACAACAGTTTTGGTAATCCCGCACCTCCTCCTAACTTCCAAACTACGAATTCTCTGCATTATATTCACACCACACATTGCTCTCAGACATGACATCTCCACTGCCTCCAGCCTTCTCCTCGCTGCAACATTCATCACCCATGCTTCACACCCATATAAGAGTGTTGGTAAAACTATACTCTCATACATTCCCCTCTTTGCCTCCAAGGACAAAGTTCTTTGTCTCCACAGACTCCTAAGTGCACCACTCACCCTTTTCCCCTCATCAATTCTATGATTCACCTCATCTTTCATAGACCCATCCGCTGACACGTCCACTCCCAAATATCTGAATACATTCACCTCCTCCATACTCTCTCCCTCCAATCTGATATCCAATCTTTCATCACCTAATCTTTTTGTTATCCTCATAACCTTACTCTTTCCTGTATTCACTTTTAATTTTCTTCTTTTGCACACCCTACCAAATTCATCCACCAGTCTCTGCAACTTCTCTTCAGAATCTCCCAAGAGCACAGTGCCATCAGCAAAGAGTAACTGTGACAACTCCCACTTTATGTGTGATTCTTTATCTTTTAACTCCACGCCTCTTGCCAAGACCCTCGCATTTACTTCTCTTACAACCCCATCTATAAATATATTAAAGAACCACGGTGACATCACACATCCTTGTCTAAGGCCTACTTTTACTGGGAAATAATTTCCCTCTTTCCTACATACTCTAACTTGAGCCTCACTATCCTCGTAAAAACTCTTCACTGCTTTCAGTAACCTACCTCCTACACCATACACCTGCAACATCTGCCACATTGCCCCCCTATCCACCCTGTCATACGCCTTTTCCAAATCCATAAATGCCACAAAGACCTCTTTAGCCTTATCTAAATACTGTTCACTTATATGTTTCACTGTAAACACCTGGTCCACACACCCCCTACCTTTCCTAAAGCCTAGATAAGGCTAAAGAGGTCTTTGTGGCATTTATGGATTTGGAAAAGGCGTATGACAGGGTGGATAGGGGGGCAATGTGGCAGATGTTGCATGTGTATGGTGTAGGAGGTAGGTTACTGAAAGCAGTGAAGAGTTTTTACGAGGATAGTGAGGCTCAAGTTAGAGTATGTAGGAAAGAGGGAAATTATTTCCCAGTAAAAGTAGGCCTTAGACAAGGATGTGTGATGTCACCGTGGTTGTTTAATATATTTATAGATGGGGTTGTAAGAGAAGTAAATGCGAGGGTCTTGGCAAGAGGCGTGGAGTTAAAAGATAAAGAATCACACATAAAGTGGGAGTTGTCACAGTTGCTCTTTGCTGATGGCACTATGCTCTTGGGAGATTCTGAAGAGAAATTGCAGAGACTGGTGGATGAATTTGGTAGGGTGTGCAAAAGAAGAAAATTAAAAGTGAAGACAGGAAAGAGTAAGGTTATGAGGATAACAAAAAGATTAGGTGATGAAAGATTGGATATCAGATTGGAGGGAGAGAGTATGGAGGAGGTGAATGTATTCAGATATTTGGGAGTGGACGTGTCAGCGGATGGGTCTATGAAAGATGAGGTGAATCATAGAATTGATGAGGGGAAAAGGGTGAGTGGTGCACTTAGGAGTCTGTGGAGACAAAGAACTTTGTCCTTGGAGGCAAAGAGGGGAATGTATGAGAATATAGTTTTACCAACGCTCTTATATGGGTGTGTAGCATGGGTGATGAATGTTGCAGCGAGGAGAAAGGCTGGAGGCAGTGGAGATGTCATGTCTGAGGGCAATGTGTGGTGTGAATATAATGCAGAGAATTCGTAGTTTGGAAGTTAGGAGGAGGTGCGGGATTACCAAAACTGTTGTCCAGAGGGCTGAGGAAGGGTTGTTGAGGTGGTTCGGACATGTAGAGAGAATGGAGCAAAACAGAGTGACTTCAAGAGTGTATCAGTCTGTAGTGGAAGGAAGGCGGGGTAGGGGTCGGCCTAAGAAAGGTTGGAGGGAGGGGGTTAAAGGAGGTTTTGTGTGCGAGGGGCTTGGACTTCCAGCAGGCATGTGTGAGTGTGTTTGATAGGAGTGAATGGAGACAAATGGTTTTTAATACTTGATGTGCTGTTGGAGTGTGAGCAAAGTAACATTTATGAAGGGGTTCAGGGAAACTGGCAGGCCGGACTTGAGTCCTGGAGATGGGAAGTACAGTGCCTGCACTCTGAAGGAGGGGTGTTAATGTTGCAGTTTAAAAACTGTAGTGTAAAGCACCCTTCTGGCAAGACAGTGATGGAGTGAATGATGGTGAAAGTTTTTCTTTTTTGGGCCACCCTGCCTTGGTGGGAATTGGCCAGTGTGATAATAAATAAAAATAATAAATTTGCATAACATTAAATTTTCTGGTGAATGTGCTTCTGCTAACCACATTACCTTACACAGGAGACAGAAGCCTTACAGCAATATTTCAGTCTGACTTGGACTATTTACAAGTCCAGGTCGGACCAAAACGTCATCATAACCTTCTCTCCTGTGTGTGGGTTATTTGTGTATTGCTCCAGTCATGGTATTTTGTGCCTTTTTGTTCCCTACTGACCACATGGTTGCAGGGAATTTCTCTACTGAATTACACAAAATTATTTCTGAGGGTGACAACAAAATTAATGTTGCTCTTTGTGTTCATTTGAAAAAAAAAAAAAAAAATGGTAAAGAATCTTTTTCTGAAAGTAATGACACCAAAAGTACAAAATTTCATGGAAAATTTTCCAAATCATGCAGGCACAAATTTAGTGGTCTGAGTGCAATTTACACATCAGCAATTTCGCCCACTGAGTTCTATTTTGAGCCAATTCCAATGCTCTATTCAGCCAAATTCTTACGAATTTTTCTAGTATGCCTTCCATTCTATTGCTTTGCACAAGAAACCACCCATTCAACTACCCTGCAAGTGCACAGAAGTCTGTAATTTGGCCAATTTTTTAAACAAAATAAATGCCAATTTAATTTTTTTTTTTCAACACACCGGCCGTATCCCACCGAGGCGGGGTGGCCCAAAAGGAAAAACGAAAGTTTCTCCTTTTACATTTAGTAATATATACAGGAGAAGAGGTTACTAGCCCCTTGCTCCCGGCATTTTAGTTGCCTCCTACAACACGCATGGCTTACGGAGGAAGAATTCTGTTCCACTTCCCCATGGAGGTAAGAGAAAATAAACAACAAGAACAAGAACTAGTAAGAAAATATTAGAAAACCCAGAGAGGTGTGTATATATATGCTTGTACATGTATGTGTAGTGTGACCTAAGTGTAAGTAGAAGTATCAAGACGTACCTGAAGCCTTGCATGTGTATGAGACAGAAAAAAAAGACATCAGCAATCCTACCACTGTGTAAAACAATTACAGGCTTCCGTTTTACACTCACTTGGCAGGACGGTAGTACCTCCCTGGGCAGCTGCTGTCTACCAACCTACTACCTAGGTAATTTAAAAATAATCCAAAATAATCAGGGTAGACATTCGTGGCAGTAAAATATTTCCTCTGTTCATTAATCACATTCTCAAGCCTCTCTTATATTATACTCTTCTTTTATTTTGAATTCATAATCACATAAAAATAGATGACGTACTCTTTTTCAGATAATAAAATACGTATGACCAGGAATGAATAGTCATGGTTTATGGCATCCCAATAATTAAATCAGACTTATCAAAATGCCAAAATTCATATTAATGTTAATTTATTTTCAGTTAATAATAAACTAAGTTCAAAACCTCATCCTGCTAAACACTAAATTGCCAAACTAGAAACATTTCACAGATTCAGTTATTTTGGCATCATTAATATTTAATAATAATATACTTTATTTCTACAAGTACATGATACAACATATACAAACCTAGCAGACATCACTGACATACTTTATAGAAAGCCCCTGGTTATGCAGAGCATATCGAGCAATTTAGATTAATTTTGTCCCCAGGCTGCAACCCATGCCAGTCAACTAACACCCAGATACCTACTTATTGCTAGGTGAACAAGGACAGCAGGATTCTAAAAGCAGTTTTCTATTTGTGTATTATATGTAGCATGTTAAAATACAGTACTTAAGAAACCTGCCTTCTCACCCACTGCAAATGTAGTACAACAAAAATGAAACTGTCTGATAACCATAATGATCTGTAAAATGTCTTAAAATATTTCAAGTCTCTATTAAATTGTCCAATATGCAAGGGCAAGTGAATATTAGGGATGACGCTACTGCAGGATATAATCCTGAAGATGGTTGGAAAAATTAATAGCAATACATATACATAATTAAGGATATGTAAATTTGTGTACATTTTTAAGGTGACAAGTACATACAAACAAACCTGCAAACAGTGGCTGGAGCTTGAATATTACTGGATAATCCACCATTTCGTTTTTTGGGGTGAACCAGTGAAGCCAAAATCAGAGAATTAAGATCTTCAGTGCTCATAGTCTTTGATCTGCTGCCCACAATCTTGCCACTATCTGGTTGTAGTCCCTTGGAGAGGGATGATTTTCATGCTTGTTGACCCATACTTTGTCTGCACAATAAATCAATCAGGAAAATTTATTACACATCTGAAAGATGTCTCCTGAACATGGATATTTTATTATTCAATTACAGTTCTTTTGGGATATTCTGAAGAGAAGTAGCAAAGGTTGATGGAGGAATTTGGGAAGGTATATATCAAAAGACACAAGTAAACAAAGTAAAGACCAAAGTAATGAAAGTAACAAAAAGTATGGGCAATGAAAGACTGGATATTTACATGGGAAAGAATAATACAAATCTATACATATTCTACATTACTGATGCATGCACAAACTATTATATCAGAATTTTGTCTTTTATATTGTATTTTTAGCTTCTGACAAAAACACTGCAGTACAGAATGTAATTAAAAATTAGTCTAGACTTCCAGAGAGAAAGAGTTAAGACCAATAATTTCATATTTCAAAATTCAATAGCCATATCAATCAAAAGAGAGAAGAGAAACATATAGGCAAATTACAACATAATACATTTAACAGGCAACACAAACAAAAAAATAACAACACTATAATCAGAGTACAGTACATACATAGTATTAAACAAATTTCCTAAACTTGCTTGTAACAGATAAGTAAACTGTAGATATAAACCAAATGTATTCCTGTAAACCCTTTTGGTGTCTGGTTCCTAAGCCTTTTGTGTATCCATATGCTCTTGAGCTATTGTCCACAGGATGGATATGGGTTGCACAATAAACTAGTCACTTTGGTGGCAAAATCTAAAATCTAGAGTACAGTATTTAACCTTTAACAAAACTAAAAATAAAACTGATTCCTAACAGCCTAAGCCCTAATGATCAACAATGCAGACTACCAACCTGCTGCTTGGAGTAAGTGCAGCTTCTGGGCCCCAGATCACTAAATACTTTCCATTCCCAAATCTGACTTCATGATACTGACCAAAATTATAAATAAAAATATAAACATAACTTGGCCTAATATTTTATCATAAAATATAAATCCAAGTATGATATTTGTTATGCAAGTACAATACGTACTTAAAACATCTCTTGCTCTCGTCACCCTGATAGTTGTGCACCTCGTAGGTAAAATAGTAACGTCCCCGAGACCTGGTCCTTGACCAGGCCTCACAGTGAATCAGGGCCTGATCAACCAGGCTGTTACTGCTGGCCACACAAACTGATGTACAAACCACAGCCCATGTGGTCAGGTGCTGACTTTAGGTGTCTGACTACCCATTTGAAGAGTTAAGCGTTTGTGAAGTGAAATACGTACTTGGAGAAAATAAGTTTATATCTGATAAGATCTGATGCTCCCCAATCTCACAAAAATACAGTGATCTAAGGTAGTATTGTATTTCTATTACCAAAATACATTAAATATTAGGTTAGGTAAGGTTTGTCAGGAAACAGGACAAGTGTTTCTTGATGTGGGTCTTAGTCATGTGATGACCCGCCATTGGAGCTTTTGGTCATCTGACCGAGGCCTTTCACTGGCTTACCGATCCACCCCTTTAAAAATTACGGTCGTAGTTATAACTATTTTTTTAATAGTATTATAGCAAGTTACTTCTTTGTGGTCTGAAATTAGTTCACTAACAAACCTTTATAAAGTCCCCAATTATTCAAGTAAACAGGAGTTAGTGTTCAACAGGGTTGTATGTGAGTTAGTATCAGACAACCAGTGCTGTCATGAATTTAAAATCTGGAGAGAAAAAAAAAAAAAGGTTCTACAGCTATAGTAACACAGCTAAGCATTGGAAGAATTTATTTGGGCTGCCATAAAGTGAGCTGCTTTTTTTTTTTTTTCAGATTATTACACTACTGTAAATTACATTAGTGGTGAGTAAGAATCTTTTCTAATTTAATTTTCAGCATATTGCAGTACAGTAGTCCCCCCATATCTGCTGGGGATATGTTCCAAGGCCTACCGTGAAGATAGGATAAGATTTCGTTAGGATTTTTAACCCCAGAGGGTTAGCCACCCAGGATAACCCAAGAAACTCAGTACGTCATCAAGGACTAACTTATTTCCATTGGGGTCCTCAATCTTGTCCCCCAGGATGCGACCCACACCAGTCAACTAACACCCAGGTACCTATTTGCTGCTAGGTGAACAGGACAACAAGTGTAAGGAAACATGTCGAAATGTTTCCACCCGCCGGGAATCGAACCCGGGCCCTCCGAGTGTGAAGCGGGAGCTTTAGCCACCAGGCCACCGTAGATACCCGAAAACGTGGATAGTAGCAAACCCTACATGGAATTTTTTTTTTCATTTACATATATACCTATGATAAAGTTTGATAAATTATGCGCAATAAGTCAAGAATTAGAACTTTTTCATTGATGGGAAGCACTTCACAGCTTCTCTTAGGCTTTAAAGAACTGTCAGCATCACAATTTTTGCACTTTGGGGTCATTATTAAGCAAGGTTAAGGGTTATTTTTGGTCCATGGCAAATCGTGGATCACTGAAACCAAATCTGTGGATACAGGGGTTCTACTGTACATAAAAATTATGACAAAATACCTATACATTCATAATTGGAATTATTTTATATTAGAAGGTTTGTAGGTTTATATTAGAAGGTTTGTAGGTGTTCCCTAGTTCAATCGCTAGCATACACAATTCATACACTGTGGTCTGGGGATTGATTCCCAGGTACGGCTGGAAAACATTAGGACGTGTTTCCATAGGACACCTGCTGTCCCTGTTCACACATCAGTAAAATAGGCACAGTACCTGGGTATTAGTCGACTGGTGTGGGTCGCATCCTGGGACAAAACTGACCTAATTTGTGGGAAACGCTCTGCATAACAAGCAGCTTTCTATAGGCCTATATCCCTTGTACATGTACTTGTAGAAATAAAAACTTCTTATTAAAGGCATCAGTTGGAAGACTAAGAAAGGTCATACAGAGCCTAGGGTAAAGAGAAATGTTTAGGTTCAATCTGAGGAAGGGGAGGATAACTTCAGTTCCTTGGATCAAGAGCTCCTCTCACCCTTGTTAAGGCACCTCCTCTCCCTCAAGGCACGGAATTCTCTTCCAAGTATAAAGACATGTGTTACCTCTCTCTGTCTTACCTGTGGTGGCAGTGTTCAAGCTGGCCTCTGCCTGCTGTGTCAAGCTTACCTACTGTCAGTCACCATCAAGCTTACCTACTGTTAGTCACCATCAAGCTTACCTACTGTCGGTGACCGTCAAGCTTGGAGAACAACTTTAGCTTCATCTGTTCCTTCACAAGTTGTCGGGGTTATCCTAGGGTAATTTATACAAATTTTACAATGTATGCTAATTGTACTTGCGTGTACCTGGGGTCACACATATACATGTACCTGTGGCTAAATAAATGAAGTTATTTACTTACTAATTCCCAACACTCAAAAATAGTGTTAACATTGAAAATTGCCATGACCTGTGGGATGCCTGCAGAAACACCGTGACCTGTGGGACACCTGCAGAAACACTGACCTGTGGGATGCCTGCAGAAACACTGTAACCCGTGGGATGCCTGCAGAAACACTGTGACCCGTGGGACACCTGCAGAAACACCATGGCCTGTGGGACGCCTGCAGAAACACCGTGACCTGTGGGACGCCTGCAGAAACACCGTAATCCATGGGACGCCTGCAGAAACACTGTGACCCGTGGGACACCTGCAGAAACACCGTGACCCGTAGGATGCCTGCAGAAACACCGTGACCCGTGGGACACCTGCAGAAACACCGTGACCTGTGGGACGCCTGCAGAAACACTGTGACCTGTGGGACGCCTGCAGAAACACCATGACCTGTGGGACACCTGCAGAAACACCGTGACCTGTGGGACACCTGCAGAAACACCGTGACCTGTGGGACACCTGCAGAAACACCGTGACCTGTGGGACACCTGCAGAAACACCGTGTCCTGTGGGACACCTGCAGAAACACCGTGACCTGTGGGACACCTGCAGAAACACCGTGACCTGTGGGACACCTGCAGAAACACCATGACCTGTGGGACACCTGCAGAAACACCGTGACCTGTGGGACGCCTGCAGAAACACCGTGATCTGTGGGACGCCTGCAGAAACACCGTGATCTGTGGGACGCCTGCAGAAACACCGTAATCCATGGGACGCCTGCAGAAACACTGTGACCCGTGGGACACCTGCAGAAACACCGTGACCCGTAGGATGCCTGCAGAAACACCGTGACCCGTGGGACACCTGCAGAAACACCGTGACCTGTGGGACGCCTGCAGAAACACTGTGACCTGTGGGACGCCTGCAGAAACACCATGACCTGTGGGACACCTGCAGAAACACCGTGACCTGTGGGACACCTGCAGAAACACCGTGACCTGTGGGACACCTGCAGAAACACCGTGACCTGTGGGACACCTGCAGAAACACCATGACCTGTGGGACACCTGCAGAAACACCGTGACCTGTGGGACGCCTGCAGAAACACCGTGATCTGTGGGACGCCTGCAGAAACACCGTGATCTGTGGGACGCCTGCAGAAACACCGTGACCTGTGGGACGCCTGCAGAAACACCGTGACCTGTGGGACGCCTGCAGAAACACAGTGACCTGTGGGACGCCTGCAGAAACACCGTGACCTGTGGGACGCCTGCAGAAACACCGTGACCTGTGGGACGCCTGCAAAAACACAGTGACCTGTGGGACGCCTGCAGAAACACCGTGACCTGTGGGATGCCTGCAGAAACACCGTGACCTGTGGGACGCCTGCAGAAACACAGTGACCTGTGGGACACCTGCAGAAACACCGTGACCTGTGGGACGCCTGCAGAAACACAGTGACCTGTGGGACGCCTGCAGAAACACCGTGACCTGTGGGATGCCTGCAGAAACAGTGACCTGTGGGACACCTGCAGAAACACCATGACCTGTGGGATGCCTGCAGAAACACAGTGACCTGTGGGATGCCTACAGAAACACCGTGACCTGTGGGACGCCTGCAGAAACACCGTGACCTGTGGGACACCTGCAGAAACACCGTGACCTGTGGGACGCCTGCAGAAACACCGTGACCTGTGGGACGCCTGCAGAAACGCAGTGACCTGTGGGATGCCTGCAGAAACACCGTGACCCGTGGGACACCTGCAGAAACACCGTGACCTGTGGGACGCCTGCAGAAACACTGTGACCTGTGGGACGCCTGCAGAAACACCATGACCTGTGGGACACCTGCAGAAACACCGTGACCTGTGGGACACCTGCAGAAACACCGTGACCTGTGGGACACCTGCAGAAACACCGTGACCTGTGGGACACCTGCAGAAACACCGTGTCCTGTGGGACACCTGCAGAAACACCGTGACCTGTGGGACACCTGCAGAAACACCGTGACCTGTGGGACACCTGCAGAAACACCATGACCTGTGGGACACCTGCAGAAACACCGTGACCTGTGGGACGCCTGCAGAAACACCGTGATCTGTGGGACGCCTGCAGAAACACCGTGATCTGTGGGACGCCTGCAGAAACACCGTGACCTGTGGGACGCCTGCAGAAACACCGTGACCTGTGGGACGCCTGCAGAAACACAGTGACCTGTGGGACGCCTGCAGAAACACCGTGACCTGTGGGACGCCTGCAGAAACACCGTGACCTGTGGGACGCCTGCAAAAACACAGTGACCTGTGGGACGCCTGCAGAAACACCGTGACCTGTGGGATGCCTGCAGAAACACCGTGACCTGTGGGACGCCTGCAGAAACACACTGACCTGTGGGACACCTGCAGAAACACCGTGACCTGTGGGACGCCTGCAGAAACACAGTGACCTGTGGGACGCCTGCAGAAACACCGTGACCTGTGGGATGCCTGCAGAAACAGTGACCTGTGGGACACCTGCAGAAACACCATGACCTGTGGGATGCCTGCAGAAACACAGTGACCTGTGGGATGCCTACAGAAACACCGTGACCTGTGGGACACCTGCAGAAACACCGTGACCTGTGGGACACCTGCAGAAACACCGTGACCTGTGGGACGCCTGCAGAAACACCGTGACCTGTGGGACGCCTGCAGAAACGCAGTGACCTGTGGGATGCCTGCAGAAACACCGTGACCTGTGGGACGCCTGCAGAAACAGTGACCTGTGGGACGCCTGCAGAAACAGTGACCTGTGGGATGCCTGCAGAAACACAGTGACCTGTGGGACGCCTGCAGAAACACCGTGACCTGTGGCACACCTGCAGAAACACAGTGACCTGTGGGACACCTGCGGAAACACAGTGACCTTGACCTCTTCTTGTTATTACCAATAATTTACACTTGTTAATGTACTTGGAGTATGCATGATAATTAAAATCACCTAAATTCATATAACTGTAGTTATGTATACCTGTACCTAATTATAATAAAAAAATAAAGCGCTGAACCTAAAAGACCTGTAACTAAAACATATACATTATATATAATATAAATATATATTTATATATAGTTAATTCTCAGTATATACTTAAGAGATATTAAGCAAATATCGCGAACAAGCTATAGAAGATGCGGGGAGAGTTGAGTGATAGCTCTAGGTCTTTCGTGTTGCAATTATCAGGAGCTTGCAATGTTGCATAAAGGATGATGAAGTCCAAGTAAATGTGTTCATAGGGAACGTTTTTGCTCGATTTGATAAAAAATTCTTCCTCTAAAACATATTTGCTTGGACTGCACCCAATTCTGCAACATTGCAAGCTCCTGATGTGTTGATTGCAACACGAAAGGCCTAGAGCTATCATTCAACTCCCCCTCCCACCGTGATCGTCTTGCCTCCACAAATAATATACATCACAGTGTAAACAACCTTTCAAACTTGTTGGAAATAAAGGCTGGTCAGAGCTGAGGGAGCCGCACACATATTACCGTACTCACTGTGGACCTTGTAAATAATTTATTTATTTAATAATTTGAACATACTTACAGAGGTACAAAAAAATACAGGTAATAGCAGCATGCCAAAGCCACTTGTATGCATAGCATTACAGGCAGGCTTAAATTTAACTTGAGATTAACTAAGCAATGATGTAATCAGTGATAAAACATTATTGTAAACAGAATAATAAAGCACAAATGAGTATTACAAATACAGGTCACTTGCTCAGCTATCAAAACTTTGGAGTCCAGTCCCTGGACCAATTATGTACCTCTGTAATCTTTTGACTACCGCCCACAGGATGGGTATGGGGTGCATAATAAACATATTAAACTAAACTAACTAAATACAGGTCATATGGTTGCATGCATTGTTGTACATTCAGTAGAATGGAGTGTTCTGTTAGGTAGTGTATTTAAAAAATAAAGTTAGATTGGGTTTTTTGTTTAACATTTATGCGATATAATTATAAGAAACATTTATGATATACAATTTATAAGGTTCAGTTATTCAGTATTTATTTGGTTTTGGGTGAGTAAGTGAACTTCGAGAAGAGACTTGAATTTATAAACAGGTAGTGTTTCTTTTATATTTACAGGTAATGAATTCCAGATTTTAGGGCCTTTTATGTGCATAGAGTTTTTGCATAGTGTGAGATGGACACGAGGAACATCAAAGAGTGATCTGTGCCTTGTGTTATGGTCATGTGTTCTGTTGAGGTTGGTAAGGAGATGTTTGAGGGGAGGGTTAATATCAGAGTTAAGTGTTCTATGTATGTAATAGGTGCAGTAATAAGTATGGATGTTTTGTATGGTGAGTAGGTTTAGTGTTTTGAATATTGGTGGAGTGTGCTTCCTGTAGTGGGAATTTATCATTCTGACTGCAGCCTTTTGTTGGGTAATTAGTGGTCCGAGATGGTTAATTGTTGTTGAGCCCCATGCACAAATTCCATAGGTGAGATAGGGGTAAATAAGAGTGATATAGGGCCAGGAGGGCTGACTGTGGAACATAGTACCGTATCTTCGATAGTATGCCTACGGTCTTGGAAATTTTCTTAGAAATTTGTTGTATATGTGTATGAAATTTGAGTCTATTGTCAAGGTGGATTCCTAAGAATTTTCCCTCTGTTAGCTTTGTGATAGGTGATCCGTTTATCATTATGTTAGGAGGGACATCTGTAGCTCTGTTACCAAACTGAATGAAGTAGGTTTTGTCAATGTTTAATGTAAGTTTGTTAGTCTTCATCCAGGTAGATATTTTCTGTAATTCGGTATTTACAGTATTGGCTAGCATGACTGGGCTCGAGTGAGAGAAGACGTATGTAGTGTCACCTGCAAATAGTGTGGGTTTGAGTAATTGCGAGGCATTTGGTAGGTAATTTATGTATAGGAGAAAGAGAAGAGGGCCAAGGACACTTCCCTGTGGGACACCAACTGTAATTGGTTGTGCGGAAGAGTTTGCCCCATTTGTGTACACATATTGGCTTCTGTTGCTGAGGTATGACTTGAGGTAGTTGAGGGAGTGCCCTCTTATAATAATAATTAATAATAATAATACTTTTATTTACTACAAGTACATGTAAAAGGTATACAGGCCTAGCTGACATCAATGACATACTACTCTATAGAAAGCCCCTTGTTATGCAGAAGTTTCGAGCAAATTAGGTCAGTTTTGTCCCAGGATGAGACCCACACCAGTCGATTAACACCCAGGTACCTATTTTATTAATGGGTGAACATGTGCAATTATCATTGGGAAGCGCTAAACCCGTAGGATTATACAGCGCCTGTGGGGGAAGGGGGAATGGAAGGTATTCAGGCTTAATTCAAGGAACTGGAGCACAGATCCAATTCCCTAGATCAAGAGCCCCTCACCAGCATCAAGGAACCTCCCTTGAGGGGTAAAGATGGGCAAGAGGTGTAAGGAAACATGCTCAATGTTTCCACCATTGCCGGGAATCTAACCCGGACCCTCAGCGTGTGAAGCGAGAGTTTTTGCCACAAGGCCTAAGTTAGTTTATTGTATTGTAGTGGTTATAATCACAATTAGTTTCTAACGTGTCTAATAACTAGACTGCTGATAATAAGATATTACAAGAACGCCAATGGAATTATGAACGACATTTTTGGGGGGTTGTCTTGGGTAAGGTACACATAAATACAGTTACCATACATAGTATAAATTACCTAGTATAACTCAAGTCAGAAAATGAGAGTTTACATAAAAGCGTTGTAATCACCTAATAACTTGTATAACTGCACTTGTGTGTGATTGTACCTAAATATATTTAGTATATTTTAGTATGATACAATATTGATACAGATTGATGGCATTTAGTTATGCATGTAATAAGCCATCAGTTACGTACAACATTTTTAATGAGAGATCACAAGCACAAAAATAATGCTGGTGTCCTCAGACAAGATATGTAACGTAAACACATCATCATAAACATAAGGGTAGAGAAACACCATTACAGGGTCAACTTTTATTACAGATGTTAAATTGCTCTGCTTAGAGCTCAGTCCTTGGGAATGTTAGAACGCCGGACCCGCAGGGTTCAACACTACCTTGGATCAAGAGCCCCCCCCCTTCACCTGCGTCAAGCTCTGCCAGGAGATGCTCTGCAACATCTTCGACCTCTGGGCTGAACATTTGATGTGGAGTATTCTAAACCCCGTGAACCACCGGCACAATATAATAATAATAATAATAATAATAATAATAATAATAATAATAATAATAATAATAAATAATAATAATAATAATAATAATAATCTATTTCTACAAGTACATGTACAAAGTATACAGACCATAGCTGACGTCAATGACATACTACTATATGGAAAGCCGCTTGTTATGCAGACATTTCGGGCAAATTAGGTTAATTTCATCCCATGACGACCCGCACCAGTCGACTAACATTCAGGTGCCCCATTTACTTGTAGGTGAACATTGAGCGGCAGATGACTTATAGAAACGTCCTAATGTTTTCCAGCCATACTGGGGGATCGATCCCCGGACCTGTGTGTGAGATCTGAGATGAATGCGCTAGCGATCTAGCTACGAGGATATGACATGACGCGAGGATCATTATCCTTTTTAGAAGACCTGGACGGATGTTTGCCTGTTTGACTAGTAACAAGTCTCTCTGGTAGCAATTGCTTTGACGCTGATGAGCATTATTATATTAATATTATGGGGGAGCACTAAACCCGTCGGGATTATACACCGTCTGGAGGGGGGGGGGGTGGAAGGCATTCAGGCTCAATTCAGGGAGCTGGAGCACAGATCCAATTCCCTAGATCAAGAGCCCCTCACCAGCGTCAAGGAACCTCCTTGAGGGGACGCTGATGAGCAGCCTGACTGTTCCTGGAATATCCAGCAATACTTGTGCTTTTGATTTGGGAACAACAAATATCTGGAATATCCAGCAACATTTGTGCTTTTGATTTGGGGACAACGGAGGTTTGGCTTTCGCCTCTGGCTGATGTATTTTATGCATGTAGAGGAAGACAAACATTATCATCTCTGGCTGGTGTTGTATGACGCACACTGAGGAATACATACAAGGCTATCATCTCCTGGGAATGCATTTGTTTTTATTCTAATTTTTTTTGTTAAGCTATTAAGCTGCACCTTGTACACTGTGGTACTGATTTTTGGCATGTGATATCACCGAAGTGTTTAATATATTTTCCCCAGTCCTGAAGCCATCCCTGAATCTCAGTGGTGGGAAAGAAAGAAAAGTGAATAATTATTTCAGCCTTTGTTTCTCCGGGTTTTGATTTTAGGACGAGGTATTTAGAGGTTTAGGGGGTGTCGGGAGGTGTAGGGCTTGTTTCAGTTGTAGGGCTTGTTTCAGGAGGTATCGGGAGTGCCACTTATGGCGCTGTACTGTCGAAGAAGGCGCTGACGGACGAAGTCGTAGAACTCGGCCTCCAGGGTGAAGTTCCGTCTCATGAAGTCCTTGGCTGCCTGCTCCACCTTGGGCTTGTAGAAGTTTTCGTTCCTTAGTCGCTTGCTTCCGTGTAGCTCCTCTGAGGGCAGGCAAGACCAGAATGAGGGTAGGCAAGACCAGAATCGAGGGTAGGCAAGACCAGAATCGAGGGTAGGCAAGACCAGAATCGAGGGTAGGCAAGACCAGAATCGAGGGTAGGCAAGACCAAAATCGAGGGTAGGCAAGACCAAAATCGAGGGTAGGCAAGACCAAAATCGAGGGTAGGCAAGACCAAAATCGAGGGTAGGCAAGACCAAAATCGAGGGTAGGCAAGACCAAATCGAGGGTAGGCAAAACCAAATCGAGGGTAGGCAAGACCAAATCGAGGGTAGGCAAGACCAAATCGAGGGTAGGCAAGACCAAATCGAGGGTAGGCAAGACCAAATCGAGGGTAGGCAAGACCAAATCGAGGGTAGGCAAGACCAAATCGAGGGTAGGCAAGACCAAACCGAGGGCAGGCAAGACCAAATCGAGGGTAGGCAAGACCAAATCGAGGGTAGGCAAGACCAAATTGAGGGTAGGCAAGACCAAATCGAGGGTAGGCAAGACCAAATCGAGGGTAGGCAAGACCAAATCGAGGGTAGGCAAGACCAAATCGAGGGTAGGCAAGACCAAATCGAGGGTAGGCAAGACCAAATCGAGGGTAGGCAAGACCAAATCGAGGGTAGGCAAGACCAAATCGAGGGTAGGCAAGACCAAATCGAGGGTAGGCAAGACCAAATCGAGGGTAGGCAAGACCAAATCGAGGGTAGGCAAGACCAAATCGAGGGTAGGCAAGACCAAATCGAGGGTAGGCAAGACCAAATCGAGGGTAGGCAAGACCAAATCGAGGGTAGGCAAGACCAAATCGAGGGTAGGCAAGACCAAATCGAGGGTAGGCAAGACCAAATCGAGGGTAGGCAAGACCAAATCGAGGGTAGGCAAGACCAAATCGAGGGTAGGCAAGACCAAATCGAGGGTAGGCAAGACCAAATCGAGGGTAGGCAAGACCAAATCGAGGGTAGGCAAGACCAAATCGAGGGTAGGCAAGATCAGAACGAGGGAAGGTAAAGTTAGAATGAAGACAGGCAAAATTACTATAACAGAATGATGGAATAATGGCAAAATTAAAAATAAGTATTTAGAATTTATAATATGTTGAACTGCACAGAGACTGGCGATTCAGAATTATATTAATCCCCCCCCCCCCAAAAAAAAAAAATGTCACTAAAGCTAATACAAATGAGATTATTTTTCAGTCTCAGCTCATAATTTTCTTCATCAGAGTGCAGAATTTCTTCTCTCAAACTGAAAATTTCTCTTAAGATAAGATAAGATTTCGTTCGGATTTTTAACCCCGGAGGGTTAGCCACCCAGGATAACCCAAGAAAGTCAGTGCGTCATCGAGGACTGTCTAACTTATTTCCATTGGGGTCCTTAATCTTGTCCCCCAGGATGCGACCCACACCAGTCGACTAACACCCAGGTACCTATTTACTGCTAGGTGAACAGGACAACAGGTGTAAGGAAACGTGTCGAAATGTTTCCACCCGCCGGGAATCGAACCCGGGCCCTCCGTGTGTGAAGCGGGAACTTTAGCCACCAGGCCACCGGAGACTATGGAGCGCTTATTTTCCCCATGCCAAGTTAGAGATTTTTCTACATCCGAGGATTCCCCCCCCCTTTCACCTGGATTACCCCTTTCTCCCCTCCTCTCCTACTCACTGTAGTAGACTTGTGTGGCCGTGTTGAAGTAGCGAGGGACGTAGTGCTCCAACACTGCCAGGGTCTTGTCCCACTCCTCCAGGACCCCCACCACAGCAAACTCCGTCTCCACCACCCTCTTAGCCTGCTCCAGTCCCTTCCTTGAGCCGAATATCCTGCCAGGTGAATGAGAAAGGTTTTAAGAATCTTAATGAGGGGGGTATTAGGCAGGGGGAGGTGTAAGATTTGCTATATTGAAGAAAGAAATGTAAGTTGCATTTGGATTATTTTTATGATACAGATGTCTACCCCCTTCCTCTAACACAAGCAGGTCTTGAGAAGCATAGCTTGTCAAGACTGCTCATGAACAGGATAGCAACGCGCAGCAGGTGTTCCCACAGTATAACTATCAAAGGAAAAGACAGCAACACACCGCGTGTTTCCACAATGTAACTATCATACAGGGCGGAGTAACAACACTGGGGGGTACATGTACTTCCCTCATAATAGGACTCACGGGCAGTAAGGGTCGTGTCCACAGAAGAACTCGATAGTGTGACCGAGGACTTCTCTGCCGGGGGTGTAGCGACACTCCACATCCTGGGCGTTCTTCAGGCAAGACTCCAGGTCCTAATGGTACATTAAAGTATACTGGGGCTTCTCGTTTCTTGAGGGAAGGAGGAGGGGATGGGCAGGGAAAACGATTGGACAAGGAGAAGAGTTGAAAGGGTGAAGAGAATTAATAGAGAAAAGAATAGACGAGGGAGAGGGATGGAAGGAGAAAGCCGCGGTAGAGTAGGGAGGAAAATGTAATAGGTAGAAGAGAAGAGGAAGGAATGGAAGAGGGAGGGGAAAGAGGAGGGATGAAAGGAAGAAAAGAGACGGAGGATAGAAGAAAGAATAGAGGGGAGAGGACTGGGGAAAGAGGGAGAAGAGTAACTATGGAGATAAAAATGGAGGGACAAATTTCCTTCGTTTTAATGTCTTCAATTATTTTATTATTGTAAATATTGCAAATAATATCACTATTACAAACTACACTACTTCTGTTATTCCCCCGTGCCCTGAGGCACGTCTCTAACACCAGTCTTAATGTGCCGTGAACCTCTTGGTCCCTCTCAACAGCAGTTCTAGGAGCGACTTGCAGATCTCCTAAAAACTAATTCCCATTATTAAGGAGCATTCTTCCCCTCTCCTGTTTCTTCACTCTCTGCACCAGAACTATGACCCAACGGGTCAGTTTCTTGTACCTAGGGACGTCAAGGGCTATCTTGCTAATAGTTTCTACTTCGAGTCCTCAATGGTAATTCTTATGTACGATTCTAGCAGTCAGGAACCTTAGATATTTCAAGAGCATCTATTTAAGGGGTTACCGAGTGCTTGCAGCACTAGTCCTGGGAGCAAGAAACCTGAAAGACTCAGCACTAGATCCATGGATTGTGCAGAGTACAGATAATTTAATGCCAGTTTTCAGGAGTTGGTGACCTTATTGCGCTCCTAACTCTTGTAACAAATATTCCTAAAAATCCTTCCAGCACTGGCCCTAAGAGACAAGGACTTCATATTTTTACACCGTTAAATTACTACGGCCTTCACCTCCCCAAGGATGCCAACCACAACAGTCAATTAATACCCAGTTTCTTTTTACTGAGAGGTGAACAGAGACAAAATGTGTAAGGAAACTACTACGATCTCAAGAGTGATCACAGATCCTTCTGTTATGACCTGAAGGATCGTAACCGAGGGATCTGTGGACCCTTCGTCGTGCCTAAGATGCCAGGAGATGCTCACCTTCTTCAAGAACCTCCTGCTAGGAAACCTGATGTCTGGAAAGAGACCTTTGCGCTCAACCAGGTGGAAAGGTGCCCTCACGTGGTAGTACCAGCTGACAGCCCTCTCTACTGGGTCACGTACCATGCTCACCAATATCGGCTTCTTCCTCCCGAATCTCCAGTATGACAGAGAAAAAGGATTGGTGAATAGGCAAATCAGAGCTACATAAATGGTTTAACGCCGGTGTAATTTTACCCGGCAGATCTGAATGTCTGCGAAGAAAATTAATACGTAAATCTGGATAGCACTGAAATGCACTGAGATATACAGGAAACATTGAGCTAAACATTTCTTAGTATATAAACATTATCTCTCAGCCCACCGTAGGATACGGACCTGCACACACTGCTGTGTGGATAAAGTACTGCGTACTTTAATGTAGTGTGTCTGGGTGCGAATCCTGCCGAGGACAGAGATAATGTTTGTAAATAATTTCGAACGTCTGCAAATTAAGCATTCTTAGTATATATGTAGGGAGACCGGACCCACGTAATGCTATGGCTGTTTGCTACTCTAGTAACAGTGGTTGCTGTGCCTAGTATGGTAGAGTGAGGATTATAGCACTAACCGAGACTCACCTGGTAAAGTTGATGTAAGCGTAAGACTCCATCATAGCCATCGGATTGCTGATGGCAGAAATATTCTTGGCGATGTCTTTCTGATGATATCAAAGAAAAAAAGAGCTCTCGGTCAAGACAATACGTACATAGGAAAGCTTCCAAGTATATTTATTGATCAAGGGCCCCAGTGGATATATGTCACTGACTTTTGTGGGGTGTTATCCTAGGTGATTTACACTGTACATATATCCAGCACAGAGGGAGCTTATGACGTTACGGTCCAACTTGGACCATTTACAAGTCACACTGACTTGTAAATGGCCTTGCTCTTTAATTTACACTATATATGATAATTGTACTTAAATGTACCCGTGTCTAAATGAACTTATTTTGTCGACCATTTTCCCATTTCTAAAGTTTTTTTTTTTCAATACGAATTTTCCAGAGACCTGGTGATATATGTTGCATATAAATAAGTCAATATATGGTTTCTGACCTGGACGGCTAGACTGGGTATGTGGACGACTTGTGACTTGGTGGGTGGGTTGAGGGTGAAGTTGAAGGAATTGATTGTCGAGAGGTGAATGAGGAGGTTCTTGAGGGAGGTTGTGCCGCAGCGGAGGAGGGGCATCACCAGCAGCACCTCCTCCAAACTCTCCCCCGTCATGTTGAGGGGCGGCCCCACCCGCACCCACCCGACCTCCGCTCGCACCGCCCCTGCTGATTATAGTATTACTAATTATTTTTATTATTTATTACTTTTATTGCGATATTCAATAAAGAGGCGCTAAAAATTCTCCTGGGTGATACTTGTGTTCCCCTGGGGTGAGACTCGCATGTGTTCCCCTGGGGTGAGACTCACCTGTGTTCCCCTGGGGTGAGACTCGCATGTGTTCCCCTGGGGTGAGACTCACCTGTGTTCCCCTGGGGTGAGACTCACCGGTGTTCCCCTGGGGTGAGACTCACCTGTGTTCCCCTGGGGTGAGACTCGCATGTGTTCCCCTGGGGTGAGACTCACCTGTGTTCCCCTGGGGTGAGACTGAGGGCTGGATGAGAGGGGGCAGGAGCATCACATGAACACACAGGATGAACGACGCTGGGAAACACACGGCAGCAACGAAGTCGCTCTTCCTGTGAAAAGAAACAGACAATATCAGTAAACAGGCATTAACACCACAAAAATAACATTGACATTGTAACCTAAACGAAATTAACGGATTGCTACGTTAATTTCGTTTAGGTTACAATATCAATGCTTGTGTTTTTTTTCCTTATGCTATAATATTCATCCTTCTGGCTGTTGTGCCTGCTGGCACTTCCGGTAGCATCTCCTCTCACCAGTGAACGCTGTCACCTGGGGACGTATATCCGCTTGGAAACCCTCATCTTTTCTACATTTTGCAAGCTCCTGATGATGTGTTGATTGCAACACGAAAGGCCTAGAACTATCAGTACTCAGTGGTCAGTCGTCACGTGAGGTCACAGACCCTGAGCTGCTTTGGGGATTAGTGTGGACGGTTACAAAGCATGGCTTGCTTCTGCAGTGTTTTAAAAATTGAGGTTGGAGAGTTGAAGGAGGAGGTCTTGCTTCTCCAGGAGGAGATTAGGAGGCTGAAGGTCCACCTCAATGGGTCTGGGAGAGAGTGTGAGGTGGCTGGAGTTGTGGGGAATGAGGCTTCTAGCAGTGAGGTGCAGCCCAGCACCTGCTACAAGTGGCGAGTGGTTCACAGTAATGGAAGGCGCATCAGAGTAAGGAAAGTTAAGAGTGAAGATCTGAAGGTAGGAAATCGCTTCTCTGTTCTTCAGGATGAATGTACTTCAGTGGCCAGTGAAGGTAAGGGTACTACTGCCCCTGCTAATGGAGGTAAGCGCATTCTTGTGGTTGGTGACTCTCAGGTAAGATATATTGACCGTGCTTTTTGTAATAGGAATAAGAAGATGAGAGACAGAGTGTGCTTCCCTGGAGCTGGTGTTGGGGACATTGTCAACAGGCTGGATAATATCACGTCAGGTAATGGGAACAAGCCCATTATCTGTCTCAGTGCTGGTGGAAATGATATTGGGAAGGGTAGGAGAGAAGAGCTGCTAGATAAGTACAGGTCAGCTATAGATTTCATTAAGTCTAAGGGAGGGATCCCAATCATATGTAGCATCTTGCCTAGAAGGGAGTAGGAAATGAATGGTTGTCTAGGGCAATTGGTGTAAATTGCTGGCTAGACAGATACTGCAAGGAACTTGCAATCCCATTCATTGACAACTGGAACAACTTTTATGGCAAACATGATATGTATGCAAGGGATGGGGTACATCTCTCTGGGGCAGGGGTGGTAGCACTTGCAGACTCGATTGAGAAGGCCATTGGTGAAATGCCTATGATTTTAAACTGATGGAAGATAGAGGTATGGGTGTGTGTGGGAAACAAGCAGGTTGCAACACTTGGGTTGGAAACAGTAAATGTATAAAAGGCATTCAGCATGAAGTTATAAATAAAGACAATAGATCAGGTCAGCAAAAAGGGGGACAGCAGAGGGCAGAAAGGGACTATCTCCCTTAAGGTTTACTATACTAATAGCAGGAGTGTAAGAAATAAGATAGATGAGCTAAGATTAATTGCAAGTGCAGAAACATAGATATTATTGCTATAACAGAGACCTGGTTTAAATCTAAAAGATAGAGAGTTTGCCCTCTAAAATGTCACATACAAGGCTATAAATTATTCCACACTGACAGGGTCAACAGGAAAGGTGGTGGAGTAGCGATGTATGTCAGAGACAATTTAAATTTTTTGTGTTAGACAAGATATTAAATTAGAAGCGCAGCCACTGAATCTGTTTGGTTACAGCTTCTCGAGGGCGAGAAAAAAATAATTTTGGGTGTGATTTACAGGGCCCCAAATCTTTATAGGGAGTGCAGTAAACTTCTATGGGACGAAATTCGTAAGGGTCTACATACGAAAATGTTGTGCTAATGGGAGATTTCAACTATAACAGATTGACTGGAGCAATTTGCAGGAAATTTAGAGTCAGGTGACTTTCTTGATTTCGATCCAGGATTGTTTTTTAAAACAGTTTGTGACAGACCAAAATAGGGTTAATAACCTCCTTGACTTGGTTCTTGCCAGTAGGGAAACACTAATTAATAATCTTGAGGTTAATGATGAGCTTGGGGAAAGTGATCACAAATCACTTCAGTTTTAATTATCATGGAATTCCCCTAATAATGGCAATCAAGTCTCCGTCCCTGACTTTCCGCTTGGCTGATTTCATAGGACTGAAAAATTACTTAGGTGGGCTGAACTGGAATGACCTGACTAAGGGTCAGGTAGGTGGTGATGGTTGCCGTTATGATGCTTTCCAGGGGATAGTTCTAGCTGCTCAGTCAAATTATGTTCCAAATAGGGAAATCAGATCAAACAAAAATGATCCTAAATGGATGAACAATAGATTAAAATATCTGATTGGTCAAAAGAGAGGCATATATAGCAAATCAAAAGAGGAGAGGGGCAATTGAGAAATCGATATATTCAGTTAAAGAGAGAAATAAAAAAGGGAATTAGAAAAGCAAAAAGAGATTATGAGGTTAAAGTTGCAAGAGAATCGAAGACTAACCCAAAAGGATTCTTTCAGGTATACAGAAGTAAGATCAGGGACAAGATAGGCCCACTCAAAAGTTCCTCGGGTCAGCTCACTGACAGTGATAAGGAAATGTGTAGAAATTTTTAACACATACTTCCTCTCAGTTTTTACACAGGAGGATACCAGCGATATTCCAGTAATGATAAATTATGTAGAACAGGACGATAATAAACTGTTGCACTATTAGGGTCACAAGTGACATGGTCCTTAGGCAAATAGATAAATTAAAACCTAACAAATCCCCAGGCCCTGATGAACTGTATGCAAGGGTTCTAAAGGAATGTAAAGAGGAGCTTAGCACACCTTTGGCTAATCTTTTCAACATATCACTACAAACTGGCATGGTGCCAGATAAGTGGAAAATGGCAAATGTGATACCTATTTTCAAAACAGGTGACAGGTCCTTAGCTTCGAACTATAGACCAATAAGCCTAACCTCCATAGTGGGAAAATTTATGGAATCAATAATTGCAGAGGCAGTTCGTAGCCACCTTGAAAAGCATAAATTAATCAACGAATCTCAGCATGGTTTTACAAAGGGGCGTTCCTGCCTTACGAATTTATTAACTTTTTTCACTAAGGTATTTGAGGAGGTAGTCATGGTAATGAATATGATATTGTGTATATGGACTTCAGTAAGGCTTTTGACAGGGTCCCACATCAGAGACTATTGGGAAAATTAAAGCACATGGAATAGGAGGAGAAATTTTTTCCTGGATAGAGGCATGGTTGACAAATAGGCAGCAGAGAGTTTGCATAAATGGGGAGAAATCAGAGTGGGGAAGCGTCACGAGCGGTGTTCCACAGGGGTCAGTGTTGGGCCCCCTGCTGTTCACAATCTACATAAACGACATAGATGAGGGCATAAAGAGCGACATCGGCAAGTTTGCCGATGACACCAAAATAGGCCGTCGAATTCATTCTGACGAGGACATTCGAGCACTCCAGGAAGATTTGAATAGACTGATGCAGTGGTGGGGAGAAGTGGCAGATGCAGTTTAATATAGACAAATGCAAAGTTCTAAATGTTGGACAGGACAATAACCATGCCACATATAAACTAAATAATGTAGATCTTAATATTACGGATTGCGAAAAAGATTTAGAGTTCTGGTTAGCAGTAATCTGAAACCAAGACAACAGTGCATAAGTGTTCGCAATAAAGCTAATAGAATCCTTGGCTTCATATCAAGAAGCATAAATAATAGGAGTCCTCAGGTTGTTCTTCAACTCTATACATCCTTGGTTAGGCCTCATTTAGATTATGCTGCACAGTTTTGGTCACCGTATTACAGAATGGATATAAATTCTCTGGAAAATGTACAGAGGAGGATGACAAAGTTGATCCCATGTATCAGAAACCTTCCCTATGAGGATAGACTAAGGGCCCTGAAACTGCACTCTCTAGAAAGACGTAGAATTAGGGGGATATGATTGAGGTGTATAAATGGAAGACAGGAATAAATAAAGGGGATGTAAATAGTGTGCTGAAAATATCTAGCCTAGACAGGACTCGCAGCAATGGTTTTAAGTTGGAAAAATTCAGATTCAGGAAGGATATAGGAAAGTACTGGTTTGGTAATAGAGTTGTGGATGAGTGGAACAAACTCCCAAATACCGTTATAGAGGCCAGAACGTTGTGTAGCTTTAAAAATAGGTTGGATAAATACATGAGTAGATGTGGGTGGGTGTGAGTTAGACCTGATAGCTTGTGCTACCAGGTCGGTTGCCGTGTTCCTCCCTTAAGTCAATGTGACCTGACCTGACTAGGTTGGGTGCATTGGCTTAAGCCGGTAGGAGACTTGGACCTGCCTCGCATGGGCCAGTAGGCCTTCTGCAGTGTTCCTTCGTTCTTATGTTATGTTCTTATGTTCTTATCATTCTACTTCCCCCGTGCTTGTTTTGCATATATATATTTATATATATATAAAATATATATATATTTATATATATATATATATATATATATATATATATATATATATATATATATATATATATATATATATATATATATATATATATATATATATGTGTCGTGCCGAATAGGCAGAACTTGCGATCTTGGCTTAAATAGCAACGTTCATCTTGCCATATAGGACAAGCGAAAATTTGTGTATGCAATAATTTCGCCAAAATTATTCTGAACCTGACGAAAAAAATATATTTCACTGTGTTTGTTTAGTGTTAAATTATTGTAAACAAATCTAAAATATATTTAGTTGGGTTAGGCTAAAATAAATTGTTCTTGTTATAATAAGGTTAGGTAAGTTTTCTAAGTTCCTTTTGGTGCAAAATTATGAATTTTTACCTCAACATTAATAAAAAAATATATCTTTAAACATATAAGAGAAAATTTTGGAAAGGACTTAATTTTAAATGAGTTCTTGCTAATTGACCAGTTTTACATATTCGGCACGACATTTTATATTTATATATATAATATATATATATATATATATATATATATATATATATATATATATATTATATATA